CTCTGTGTGAAAAACTTCCTCCTAATATCTAACTTATAATCCCTGACGTACACATCCTTTCTTGAGATCTCAAGCAAGCATTAAATCATCTGATCAAAAACACTGGAAAAGATTGATAAAATGTGCCCTACGCTCAGTCTAGGATCTCATTAACAACTTCTGACTAATAAACATCCTTTTTAATGTAATGTAAATAAGTAGAAATGGTTATATTGGTACGTAATGATATTGATAATTGATAATGATGTTTTAAAAAAAATTACACTGTTTTCACACACGCAATGTTTTTGAAATATATGTATTCTTGTGGAAAACAACCAAGCAAGCAATTTTCAAAGGGAATCAAATCTCTTCAGCTACCTTGTCGTTACACAAAAGGAGTGACTATTAAAAACTTCATAGTGTTATTCTTCAAACTAAGCTATATAAAAAGCACTTCATGTAGGAAAACAGGTTGGCATGGTATGGGCCTCCTCTGTTGATATAATCAGTGCAATAAATCAAGACAATAGCACTTGGAAGTCATAAGAACCAGTAATCTTGCCTTAAGAACCTGTTCCAAAGCTCAGACAAATCAACTGTGGAAGTCTTTATACAGCCTTCTCTAAGCACTACAGTCTTAAACATACGTAGATTGCTACAAAAGTAATGCCTCCTATTTATGTATATATGGAAACTCCAATGTATACGAAGAGCACAATAACAGCATTTGACAGAGTACATTCTCAGTTATAAAATACTCTTCTTGGGCATAGTTACCACCATTAACTATGCTTTTTCACCTGCAATGAGCATGTTGCTACTGCTGAAACACACAACCCACAGCCTCACTTGTGTTGACATCCACTGTTAGGTCTCCGTAAACATTCAGCAAGAGTCAGTGAATGGCAATGGGTGCCATTTTTTCAGCATGGAAGAATTAATTACACACCTTTGCTTCATACACACTCCCATGACAGACGCCATTCTGTCAGACTGCCCCTCTGCTGCCATGTATCACACGGCAACAACCCATAATAGAGTATTGGCAGGAAGGTTCAACCTCTACTGCCCTGCCACCAACTTCTGCCTCTGGTGTTGAGAGCCAACATAAGAAAACAGGAGACACTACTTTCAGAACAGCCTTCTGGATATGAGCCACCAATATGCAGGTGATTTCTTAAGAACAAACACAAATATATTTTTGTTTCAAAACTCACAGTTCAGAAGTTGCTCTCCCAGACATGGACCAATTGCGTTCTTTCTTTCTAACCTTTCAGAGAAGTCTATATTGTGTAAAGAGGAATGGGCAATTATGTGAAATGGCCTCTCAAATATATATTTCATTGTGCTCACTGTGTTCTCAGCAACGTGCTGAAATACAAAATGGCTAAAAGAAACAAGGAACAACAAAACTGTATTTCTAAAAGCCCCTGAATAAGTCTTCTTTATCTGATGATAAAAATAAAGCTTTATTCTGGTGGATACTGTTTTGTAATACACCATATAGTAATTAACTCCAGCACTGGATAATCACTAACACTAGAAGGGCTTATGAGGCCTCAGAGAGTTTTTAAAAATTGTATTTTAGAAACACTGAACCCTCTGAATCCATCATGGAATTAAGGGAGTACAAAGCCTTAGCTATTGAGCTGAAAATCACAAATGACCATCAAAATGCTTGACATTCTCCATTGAAAGAACATGGTATGCATGAGTAAGAGCAAGGTATTCTGATGGTCCTGAAAAAGTTCACTTCCACTTTCCTTGATATGATCTGAGATTTTTTTTAAAGCCAACCAAATACCATTATATGACATGTTGTACTGCATCATCATGCCCATGAAATACTTCATAAAGTGTTTTATTAATTATTAATGTTATTAATTTTGCTGTTTTCAGAAGTGTTACTCTATACATATACTGTTATATTTGCTATGCAATTTACTTACAATGGAAACTGCCACCTCTCACATATTCACAAATAAGGACAGTTTTACAAATGGATCTATTAACTCCTTGTCTTCCTGTACAGTGTTGGAAATGCATTATTATATTATTTAAATGGTAATTTAATTAAAAGAAGATAACAGTGTTTAAGAAAGACCATTCTTTTCCTCCATCTATCATGCTTAATATGAAAGGCTGATTATTTCCTCACTTGCTACTACCCCTGCGTGGCAATGCAATCAATTTCATGTTCTAGACTGAAAACTGTTGTTTTTTCACTTTTCACTGCAAAGCCATGCTTTCCCAAATACTTGAAAAGACAGCCTTATTGATCAAGTTTAAAGTATTGCTTAATGGAAGAAGTTTGCTTTGTTCTGAACTAGAAAACAGCCCTGCAAATACAATAAGGATTAATTTTCAGCATTATGTCATTTGCTCAGTGCTCTAACACCCACATCTGCAATAGAACACAAATGCATAATTTTGACCTGGCAAAATAAACAAAACTAAATTACTGAGTTGACACTGGCTCTTACTGTAGAACCTCATTTAGAAGTTAAAATATCAACAAGCAGGAGGATGTTAGAGGCAACATAGGTTTTTCAGGAAAACAAAGATGGTCAGATAGTCCAGGTAGACTAAGGATCAGACCAAGAGATGAGGAGGCAAGAGATTAAGTTCTTGAAAAAGCCTTCTAGGGGCCTAGCTGGAACTGAAACCAGACCAAGTTACTAACAGCTCTCTTGGAAGTAAAATTGTTTGTATCTATACCAGCCATTAGAATGCTAGAGTGATCCTTCCTGAAGATTGCTTTGTGCTTGAGTCAGTGCAGTGTAGCTCCCCGTATGATTCCTGTTGTGATGAAACCAAGGATCAAGTTGCTCCCCTCTATGCCAGCAAGAGTATGCTGTTTGTCATGCAGACTCTTAGCCCTCAGCTGTATGTAATCTACGTATGTATGCATTGCACATACTCAAGGTCAGCAGCAAGCATGAACTGCACTGACAGTGAAGATCTGACACTGATATGGCCTGCTAACTGTAGAGAATTGCAATAAGTCAATCCCATCAGCTGCTGATGTAGATACACCCAGTGTGAATCTCACTGGGCAGCAACTTCAACCATAAGACCAACTGCCTACTACCAACCTTTCTGTCTTTGCTAAATTTCTGAAGGATTAAGTGTTTTATCTTTAGTAGAGATACACGGTGGCTGGTTTTACAAAGACATCATGGGATTCTAAGAGTATAGCACAATTCCACTACAGAGTTTGCATACCATGAACTTTAAAGATATCAAAGCCAAGACTGGAAGCAAAAGAACCCTATCAAGTGAATCCATTATTACACATATCATCCAGTTTTATCATATGATGGGAGAAATACTAGTGCAAAAACAAATGTGGTTGTGAGGATGTGTTCAGAAGCACAAGGTAGTACTACTCCCAGATGCTTGGTGGTCACAATTTTGAGGTTGGTTTCTCCGAATTTTTAGCCTAAATTTTATTCAGTTTTACAAGATGTACGCTTAAAAAATACTTAATATTAGTCACAGTAAAAATAATTTCTATTTTAAACAGCAGTTAATTTTGCAAAATTTTAAATATTCAAATATAGCTTGAAGAACACAAAAGGCTAAAACCGGAAGCAGTCTTAAGTTAGACATTTTTCCTTGCTGCATGTCCTCCAGAGCCGAAAAGCAGAGTTAACTGCAGAGTAAATCAATAAAATTTTGTATAAATTTGGTATTTTTGATCAGTCACAGAGGGAAAAATCAATTGATTTTCTGCAGAAAACATAAGACGCTATGGACTTCACTCATTATAAAACTAATCACATGCACATACGTTTACCACATCAGTGATCTCTTAGTTTTCAGTAAAAAGAAGAATTTGTACCCTGCTTCTGGAGAGAAGTCTGAAAGGATGGATCCCAGTGGTCCACAAAATAAATGGTCTAATTTTACTGTGTCATCATTTAAAAAAAAAGTTCCTTATAACAAGTTTCTGAGCCAACCTCAAGAGTCAGCCCCTACAGCTGTATCAATACTGTTTTAGCACTAAGATATCCCATGTCTATAGCAATTGGGTTGCAACAACAAAAGGAAATGTACATTTATTATAAAACAACTGTTTTTATTTTAGTTCTTCATGCGTCATGTGGACATTTTTTTTGCTTCAGATTTTTGTAGATTACTAAATACTGTGCTACATTAGAGGTGACTGTGTCCTATTAGAACAAAATATGTGAAGTAATAAAGGATTTAAATGGCACATTTCTGAGAAATTTTTACCATAACTAAGGAAAAAAATGTATCTACCAATATTTACCAACCTAGAAGGTAAAGAACTGTGATATGCACACCATAAACAAAATTAATGTATCAAAGCTACGCATGCTTATTTTCTATCACACTTAGAAGTCAACTACTAGAAAACAATTCTAAGCAACCAAGTTTAAGACACCGAACTCACATTAAAAGAGATCAGTGCAGACCAGGCATGTGCAGAAAAAGTCTCTAGGAATGTGCTGAACTCCACATTCTGTAGGACTACAGGCAAGATCAGAAACATTTGTAAACTTTTAAATGGCCAGGATTTCAGGGCAGGGTCAAAATGATAAACTAATATTTTTTGTTTAAGATTATGTTTCCACTGTAAGTTACAACACTGAGGCACTGCGGGGTTCTTTTCAAACAATTTTTCTGTACATATATATGTGTTCTGACACACAGTCATAGGGACTCCCTATTAAAATACAAAGCCTTTTACGAAAAGAGAAACAATCCTCTGACAAAAGTGCTGAGTTCATGTGGGATATAAGATATGCCTGTACTGCATCAGCTCCAGTGTTTACATACTCTTCACTTCAAGATGCCCCACATACTAATAACTTCACTTTAAATGAACAGATTTTGGATTTCATTGCACTACATAACAAGCACTTCTCCAGTAAATTCTTCTCTTTGGATCTGTGATTATACACTTCACTCCTCAGGGATTAATGAAATACAGCGATGCATGACATGAATGGCTTATACAGGCTGCAGGAAGAGAAGCCAATCACCTTTACCTGAAGTGGGAGACTTGCAACGCTCTAGCTCCAGGGAAACTGGACTGTCACTGAGTTCAGTCAGGCCTGAAAAAATGGAGTTAAAAAGTTAAGTTACAATCTAACAGGGCATGCTTCAGCTTTCTTGGTCGATGATATTCTGCACTTCAAAGGCATAGTGGAGAAAGGAGCAGTGTGAAAAGTGAGGGAAATACCTATTTCAGAATAACTGCAGTTATCAGGCTGTCCCTACAGAAATTTAGGTCTACTTCAAAAATCACACCTCTTGTTAACTCAGATTTGTTTTCCGAGTGCCTCAGGGTAGACAAAGAGTCTCTGAACTTTGCGTAGTTTAAAATTCAAATCTTTGTGATTCGTATAAAAATCAGTCTTCCCTGAGCAAGAGATGTGGAATCAGCTCTATATTCTCATGTGCTACAGAATGCACAGCAGAAACTATAAAATGGGATGAGGAGGGCATGAGGAGGAAGAAAAAAAAAAAAGAGTGAATACTTGTGCAAGAAGAAAGTGAATAAAAGAGTATAATCACTACAGCACTAGAATCTTAGATGCATTCACAGAAGACTGCTCATTTTAAAAGCAGAGAGGTGATGGTATTGTCTGAATATAACAAGGAGTTTTTCGGACAAGACATCCTACACATTGGTTAGAAAAATTTGTGAGGAACTCATTTGCAGCAGTCTACCATGGAGCAGAGCAGCAAGTAATGTAATCCTAGCTTCAACTGCTTAAGCATGAGCTTGTGTTTGTGATCAAACTAAAATCCATCTTAAGCACAGATTGGGCATGTCTGAGCTCATGCTATCTTTTACCATGGGCTGACTGTTGAGTGTTTTTGTGAGGTATAGATACATACAATGAAATAATGAACACTGATTCTTTTCCAAATGCAGTACTGGAGTTTCCTAAAATTTGACACTATGGATATGGATTAACAAAATCATTCTAAATTCTGTACAGTTACTCTTGGCTACAGTTATTATCATAGAATGGCTTGGGTTGGAAGGGACCTCAAGGATCATTAACTTCCAACCCCCAGTGCCAAATCCCAGGTAAGATTTTGCTTCTAAATAAAAAGTATTTATTTGGAAGTTTTCAGGATCAGTATTACAGCTCAAGGTACACTGGTGCCACTGACTTATGTAGGAAAAGCACCAAATCACACCACTGTTCTGAAAGAAAAAGAACAACCACCTTGAGAAGACCACAATCTCTACGTTTGCCAAAGTTTAAAATGCATTTCATATTACCACATTTTTGGAATTGTGAACGTGCACTTTTCTACAGATATACCTTATTTTTAGCGTGGGGATTTATGTGTCCTCCAAAAGCACATTGTCTTAGTCTTCAACACTTTGATTTGCTTAAGTACTGTCACTTGCAAATTTTCCCCTGGCATCGATCACCCTTGCTTAGAAACACTGAGTTCTACTTAACATCCATCTATTTATCCAAAGTTTCTTTTAACCTTATTGAATTAACAACAGAGTCATAAAGTCACAGAATCATACGAGTTAGAAGGAACCTTTAAAGGTCATCTAGTCCAACTTTCCTCTATGAACAGCAACATCTACAACTAGTTCAGGTTACTCAAAATCACCTACACTCAGAAACACTGGTAGTACAAATAAGTGCTGTTCCAATAATGTGATATAATTGGGATTCTTTTAACTTTTTATACTTTTTGGGCAATAACCTATAAATGCGAAGGAAGGATGAAAAAACTGAGAACTAATTTTTCATCTCCTAACTAATGCTTCATGACAAAGCAGTAAAAGCTCTGAATCCATCTCTTTGCCTTCCTTTTCATCCAACTGCCTTCCTGCTCTGGGAAACAATCCACTTTCTCCTTCCAACTACTTTTTACTTGTCATTTTGCCTAGCCATGGAAGAAAATCTTGTGACTCTGTAATCTCTAAACTCATGTAAGCTAAGAGAGAAGATGAAGATGTTACATGACAATATGTTGCATAATCTGCAATCATTCACTGAAAGGAATAAACACGTCTGAATTTTTATTGATCTTCGATTCCATTGAACATTGGAGATTCTCTTGAGATAAGAAAGGAAGCTCTCAAGCTCTCCTTTGTACTAGTGCTTATTTTCTAATTCCCTTTTTAAGGAAACCATTTTAATAATATCTCATATGTATTTCCATGCAGCTCAGTTTCCCTCAAATCCTTCAGAGGCTACAACTGATGTCGTATTAAGAAACACTTTCAATTCTTGCTTTTAAATTCTGTAGGCCCAACCTCTGTCTCAAGATATTTTTGCTGAAATTAGCACAATTTTGAGTTCAACTACAGTAAGAAGAACATGGCAGCAAACTAAATGCAAATAATTGAGTTTGGGAATTGTAACAGACACCTGTCAGAAGATGTATCCATTGACATTATTTTGCTTTGAAGAAATTATAAACATGAAAAGTATACAGTATGTAAGTATACCTCCTAAGGCGTAAAGTAGTTTTAAAGACAACTCATGGATATTTTTCAATCACTTTTACTGTGATTCCCATTTCTTCTTTGTTAAATAAACAAAAAAATTAGTAAAGGATCGAAAACGTAATGTCTAGTACAGAATAAAAACATTTATGAAATAATACTACTTTAAAATAATTTTAAAATTTGAATCTCTGATTACATGATTCAGACTTTCAATTTACTAAAGGTATCCAAGCCATCACATTTTTTGTTATAATTTAATAAACTGTAAACAAGTTGTCATAAATATTCGCAAGCCAATAAGTAAATCCAGTATCATTTTAATTCATAAGTCTCTACACCGAATTACCACGCCATTTCTTTTATATTTAAATATGATGCATTCTTTGGAAATGGCAGCTTGTTCAGAACATAGACGTTAACTTTAAACTCAACCTATATTAGCTTCTACTGTGTTGACAGGTGTCATTTAAAGTGTTAATTACTGATAAGTAATGACTCATAACGCAGTGTTCTGTGTCTTCCTTTAGCAACAAGGTTACTTCTGCTCTCAGCCTCTCAAAGGGCAGGCCTGAAGGAGGAACAGATATATCTCAGTGAAAACTATGAATTCTGAAAACTATTTTCCAATGGATAAACATAATTTTAACCTGTTGCCTCTTTGGATGCTTCATAAAGACTATTTTCTTGTTTTACTGACAGATGGTATGAATTTCTATTGATGGTATGAATTTCAATTAGAAGATCAAACCGATTTTGTAAGTTTGTAGTTTTATGTTCCGCTGCAAGTACAATCTCTCAAGATGGAGGAAATGTATGTGTTTTTTAATATTGAAATACATGCTATCTACTCCTAGTCAATAACACATACAACTTAATTTTGACTGGTTAAGGAAAAAAAAGCCAACACTCCTCCACCTTAGTTCAGCACTACTTCAGATAAAATTTATTTTGTTCTGGCATGTAGTCTTGCTACAAATGAAGATGGCTGCCAGCAGATGTTACAAAAAAAAAAAAAAAAAAGAATGGGGCCACCAAATACAAGAAGTGTTTACATTTTCAGCCTCTCTCATTACAATATGTCTAGAGTTTACTACATTTCCTTTTCTACCTTTTCAGCCCTTGCTTGTCCCTTCCCATTTCCACCTCCCAACCCACACAATGTTTTGCCTTAATACTCTAAGTTCACTCTGGGCCCTTTTGAGTTTGCTTCACACAAGTATATACCACTCATATCAAGTTCTCAACAGATTGGCTACATTTCATAATAAGTCCATCACTGAGCTTCATATATCAGATGACCTTGTCATCGTTGATCATTTCTTTCCTTTGGCAAATCTCTTATATTCAGGACATTGGTTCTTCCCCCTGCTTGATAGTTTGTTTTTTTTTTTTGCCACTCCTTCAGTTGCAAAGCACCTCAGACTGAAATATCAACCCTTCCTTTATCTCTCTATCCAAGGTGATCTTGTGTTACCCTAATGATACATAAACACATCTCTTCTATGTTTACTGCCACCCAAGTTCAAGAAGTATTCCTGTCTTTCTAAACCTTACTCACCAGTGTCCAGAACTTAATATTGCCAGTATAATCTCTTTTTTCTTTCTCCCTGAAATCTCCTCTTTCTTTGCTACTTCAAAATAGTAAACAGCACCATTCTCTTCCCTGATACTGCTGTAGTACTGCTTCCATTCTTGGAATATCAAACTAACTCTGTATACAAAAACTGGGCGCAAAATCAGTTTCTTGCAGAAAATTATCTTCAAAATGACTAATGAAAGTATATTGCTCATTGGTAATCTGTCCTCATTTCAGCTGGGACAGAGCAGATTTTCTTCATAGTGTCTGGTGTAGTGCTGCTTCGGCTTTGGGAAAAAACAAGGTTGATAACACACTGACGTTTCAGTTGTTGCTGTACAGAGCCAAAGATGTTTCAGTTTGTCAGCTTCTGATACTGTCCTGCCAGCAAGGGAACCGGGGGCACAAGGAGCTGGGAGGGAACAGAACTAGGAGGGCTCACCCTGGCCAAAGGGATATTCCATATCATATGACTTCATGTGAAAATAAACTATAAAACTGAGCGGAGCTGGCTGGAGGGGCAGCAGCTGCTTGGGGTCTGGCTGGGCATCGGTCAGGAGGTGGCAAGCAATTGTTTCACACATCACTTGTTTTGTATACGTATATTATCATTACTGTTATTTCTCTCTTCCTTTTCCATCTCACTAAATATTTTTTATCTCAACCTATGAGTTGTGTTTTTTCCCCCCTGATTCTTCCTCCCATTCCACTGGGAGGGGGTCAAGAGAGCAAATGACTATAGGGTGTTTATCTGCTTACTGGGTTAAACCACAATCTTTTTTTTTGGCTTCATTGAATACTAGTCTGATTCTCTCAAACTGACCTTCATGAAATTATCTTCCTAGCTCATTATTTTAATTGAATCAACTCCTGATATGCCTTCCCATTAACTTCAATTTTCATTCATATAATCCTCAATACTGTAGACCTACTGCCTACACTATCACAACTACTCCTGCTTTCACCTTGATAATATCAGTTTTGAGCACAGTTTCAAAAATACTTTTCTTTTCCTACCATTGCCCCTTACAAGAATAAGCCTGTGATCATAATCCTGAATCCATCCTCAATAACACTCTTAAAACTCCTCTCTCTCATACGAGTAGCAAAACTCAACTTGAGAATTACATAGCAATTGGAGATATTCTTAACTAGTGCTCACTAACTAAGATACTTTATACTCTGTAACACATTCTTGCCTTGTTCTTAGTCTTAATGGTCTGAAAGATGCACCAGACAATCAGTGCATATTTCTATGTAAGTATTGAATGACAAAGGCAAAAACAAAACACTTTTTGAGGAAAGAGAGTTAATAGTGCTTGAGAACAAGAGTCAAAATCACAGACTTCAGCTATGTGGTATAGAAAGCTTTTAGGGTTGAATATAGAAACAAGATTAAAGATATTCAGCTCTTAAAACCTGTGAGCTGTGTTTGTTGTTGTGGATGAACATGTTGGACTTCTTGGTCCTTTTTGGTCTTAGACTTCATTAATATTTTTGTATGGCTTTTTTGTTGCTGTTGTTGTTTTGTGGAAATTCATAAACCTTTGACTGCAGTTTGTCCCTTGAGTTCTAATTTATAGACTTGTAATTAGAAAGACCTGGCCAATAAAGTATAAAACATTATACACCAGTCCTTTTTTTGGGCTGCTAGATTTCTAACTGGCCTGGTCTTCTAACTAAATAGACTATTTTTTCTGAAGTATTATGACACTAAATCACAGAAATTAGTTGCTAAATAATCTACCTAGATAGATGAAATGTGATTTCTTTTGTGAGCATACAAAGGTACAACCATACAACTATGTATTTATATGAAATACTAAAACAACTGTCACCCCTTTCTTTATCTTGCCTGCACTGAGTATTCACTGTAAAATCGCCTATCCAGTTGTTCTGCAAAAAACACTTTAAAAAGAGATGAATAAGAGGCATCCTGGAGACCTAATTACATATAAGTACTACAGCTAATTAAGATACATACAGATTGTTGGTTGAACAGTCATTTTTGCAAAATTAATTATAGCTTTGTTCATCGCATTGTGCAGTGATGAATGCTAATATTTAAATTACATATCACTATAGTCCAAAATTTTAAAATATAAAAAACATTAATTTTCATAACTCTTTGATGTACGTATTTTTATACCCACTTTATATTCCCCATTAAAGATCAGAGCCATGGGATGGTTCCCCAAAGCCAAATATTCAAGTACCAAACCAAGATTAACATTTAAAATTTCATAGCATGCAACCCAATTGGCAGATTTTTAAACCGCACTGCTCTTCTGAGAATAGGGAAGAATTAATTAATAAGTATAACCAGGCAGTGCCATTGAAAAACAAGAAATGCTTCATATAAGTAGGTGCACACTGAAACAAAAACAAAACCAAAGAAAAATATTCCCATCAAGATCATAACATTATTGAGAATTCATTTCTAAGGCCAGATTTGTCTCATATAAGTCAATGATGCTTTCTCATTGATTGTTTTGGAAGAGGAAAACAGATCTGAAATATCTGTATAACAAAGAAAACTGTCCAAATGAAGCATGGTTGACATTACAAAGTGTAATAAACTGCATGCATGCTGAATGTGTTTAAGAAACACATTACAAAGCACAAACACATGGGTTTAAGTCAGGCATAGTCTCATCATGATAACGCTATTTGCCTAACCTTTATAGAACTTACTCTGATAGGAAGTACGGATCCGTTTCGTTAAATCTGGATAAAAGTTAGACAGGCCACGCATGCAAAAGTTGTCTTTGGAACATGCCAGTACACCAGCATCAGCAGCAGGCAGAGGAAAGAGAGAAAAAACAGTCTAAAGTGAAAGGAAGTGATATCCATAACCAGCATCTAGAACAGCCAAGGTGAAGAAATTTCAGCAGATGCTTACCTTCCAATTGGGAGATATAACAATAAAAATAACCAAAAAAGTAAAGGATGTAGGATGGATGGTGAGAAAGCAGCTGAGGATCATTTTTCAGATGCATAGTTTCTATGACCAATCTAGAAGAGCATATTCTTTCTTGGCAGTCACCCAGTACATACCAGTAGACTCCGTTCTAGCAGCACAACTGGAATACTTCCTTAAAGGAGTAGCCAAGATTGCCCCTGACACATAGAAATCCTGCACGGTGCAATACTGATAATAGCTGTTTCTGCAACAGTTACCCTGTAATTTCTGTACACAACTATGCATCATGTTGCCTATGTTTGGCTGCTCAAATTACACTGGGAGATGCTGTAAGCTTAACTGAACCAGAGAGGAAAGCTGAAGATAGCTTAAAGCTGCTTGTCTCCTCTTTCCTCAACTGTTCCAAATTTACATCCTTAACACGTGGCAGAATGAGAACTAAGCTTGAAATGATTAAATGCCTAGAAAGTGAGATAAGTGGTCTTTCAGGGATGGAAGTAGGGCTGAAGACTTACTTTTTATTCTCCAAATAATTCTTTCTACTAAAAGTACAATCATACTGAAAATGAAAAAAAGTTTATATTGACTCCGTGGAGAAATAGGATTTGATGATTTAGTGTAGGATCTGCTGATGAAAATGCTAATGTCATAAAACCACTGTAATCTCCTGCTTTTATAATTTTATATGTATATTTAAAACATTCAACGTTTCCAAACAGACTTTAAAATCTAATTCTGAAATTCTGCAGCTACGTAAATTATATTTCATAACTGTCTCTGACTCAAGTACGTTATTATGGCATATACAGAGCTAAAAGGTTTTGTTTTTTCCCCTCATACAAGTTAATTTTTTAGATAATCAAAAATGTCTGGCAAAATGTAACTGCAGTGATGAACTGATGTTTCTAACATTTAATCCATAATAATAGCTATGAATTACAAATGTGATCCTCTTAGCATCAAATTTAAGATTTGGTACAGGTGCATCTAGTAAATTTATATTAGGAGCTAACAAAGTGGCTGACTGGAGTTAGTTTTGCTATCTGAATGGCGTGTACCCAGCTATTAAGTTATTTCCCAATCACAACTACCTATTCAATTAACAATGAATAACACTTAGCAGAAAGTACAACTAAGTTTAAACTCAAGACTTATATATCGGGGAGAATTTACTGAAAACAGAAAGAAAATAGCAGACAAAGACTACGTTTGAAGACTACACTTCAAGAGACTGCCAGAGAAGCAGTTTATTTCTCTACTCCTGATTTTTAGAGACTCAGCAAAGGGAATTACTTGCTGACTTCCATCCCAAAATAATAAACTTCCTGAAACTTTTTGCTTCTGAGAAAAAGTATCAGTACTTAAAGCACATCGGGTTTCTTCTGTCGAGTTATAGAAATTCCATTGGCTGGCAGATAGTCATGCATGTCAAAAGCACTATAAAAAGCCACAGGCAAAAAAAATCAAAGAATGTCAAGCTCATAACCACAATATTTTAATTCCTACCTGCAGCAAACTGCTTGCTTTTGCGAGGTGAACGGGGCTGGCGTTGGTACGGATCACTTGATCCATACAATTCAAGGGTTCCCATGCTCAGTAGTACTGTCTTTTGCATGAAGTCCACAACAGCCAAGCCATTGCAGTTTCCAAATGCCACTCTGAAGAAAAAAAAAAAAAAAAAGTTTCTCAAAGCTATTAGTAATATATAGTTAAGTGGTGCAAAAAATAATTATTATTTAGTATTATGAATTCTGCAGCAACATTTTCATCAGAAACTACTCAAAGCTTACTTTCTGTAATGACGGATCTGTAATCATGGATTGACAAAATCCTGTCCTGCAACATGGTAACTGACACTCCAGAAAGCAGACTATCGCCTTTAACCTTCTGTGAAGAATGCACTGCAATAATGCAAAACCCTACAATTTATCCAAATAACACATGAACCTCAGAACAGTAAACCAAAAGGTTATGGAGTTCATAAACAGAAACAATTTGGAAACCCAGGCCAAAGGACTCACATAGCAAACTCCAAACACAATATTTTTGCACAAATATATACAAATATATACAAGAATTTCTGCTATGCATAACATTTCTGAAGTCTCTAAAGTATCAGCTGACTTACAGAATACTGGTGGGAGTCAGACACTTAACACTTATTAAGGCTCGTGTCTTTTATGCCTTCAACACAGCTAATCTGATTAATGTATCTGGTCAATCACCAATGAGAAAAAACATAAAAAACTGGCAATTAAATAGAGCTTGAGGAATAAGATGCATACAGACACGCTCACTTGCAGTTCCACATAGAATTTAGTATTGTGAGGTTCCTTATTCAAATTTCAATTTCAGATCTCTGCTGCTCTTGCAAACAGAGATTAGCATATGCATAAAAAAGCTGTTCTCACAAGACAACTTCCAATAAAAATATGATACCATGTTAAATGACATTTAACATACATTCACCTTTTTTAAAAAATGTACTTCAGTGATTCTTTCAAAATAACTTCTAAAATTTCAGATTTGAAAGGTAACTGAACTTTTCTTGCAAGAATTGACAGAATGATGCAAAGCAATTCAGTCTTTTAAACAGGAATAATAAAAATAATAGCAAAAATTACAGTTTAACATCTCATATTACACTCTTCATGTGAATTCAAATAATTTTTACCCAACAGTCAGGATAATAGCATCTTTTGATTATTTTTACTTTGACTTCAAACACCTTTGGTGAACTTCAAAGTTTAGCTGGAAAGTACATGATTTAGAACAATAAACGATAAATCAATGTCTCTTAATTTTGAGTTACTTACAGTCCATAAGCAGAGTTTACAGCAAGACTGGTAATCTGTTGTGGAGGCTCACCATCCACCCACACCAACTGAATAACAAGATCTGCTTGATATCCAGGAGGCATTCGCACAGGTCGAGTCTTAACACTAAGGAGAGGTGCAAAATAAAAACAAACAAACAGACTGAGCCATGAAAAACAAATGCTTCCCCTGAGAAAATATTAATGAAACAGAATCCATTAATAAGACCACAGCAGTATGCACAACTGTAGCATATTTTGCATACACCCGTACATCAAGGCTAGGCTTTCCAAGCAGAACATGGATAATTTGGAAGAATTCCAGGCTCTGACCTTAATTTCTGCTGTAGAAATAAATCTGAAAATTTAAACATTCCCTAAATGAGAAACTCTGGAGAAGATGTAGGTGAGGTAAACAATTGAGGTTAATAAAAACAATTTTTGCTTAACAATTTTGCTTTCTTTTTTTTTTTTTTTTTTTTCTCAAACATTTTCTTGTACTATACCACAGAATCACAGAATAATTAAGAGTGGAAAAGACGACTAACATCATCTAGTTCAACCATCAACCTATCACCCATGCCCACTAAACCATGTCCTCGATGCTGCATCCACACGGTTCTTGAAAATCTCCAGAGACGGTGACTCCATCACTTCCCTGGGCAGCCTGTTCCAATACCTCACCACTCCTGAGAATAAATTTTTCCTAATACCCAACCTGAACCTCCCCTCGTGTAATTAGAAGCCAACACCTTTCATCCTATCACTAGTTACCTGGGACAAGTGGCTGATCCCCACTTTGCTACAAGTTTCTTTCAGGTAGTTATGAAGTGATAAGGTCTCCCCCAAGCCTCCTCTTCTCCAGACTAAAAAATCCAATTTTCTTCAGCCACTCCTCGTAAAACCTGTGTTCCAGACCTGGACTGGCATGAATAATCAACTCAGATGGAAAACATTAAGGTTTTCTTCTGAAAATCTCAAATGACATTTCTGTGTTGTTGGAACTATCTTGTTCTGAAGTATGGCTAGAGAAGATAGATGCAGCATCTTTCTGTACTGCACATCATCACTGCATATCCAAAACTTCTGGACTTGACAATTCTATTTATCTGTCTAGTGCAAACAATTCTTATTTTTTTCTTTGGAGAATAATTACCTCATACATGATCTAGTCTTTTTGAATGACTGCTTCCTACATAAAATGTGATATAAATATTAACACCCTTTTATATTCCGTTAAGACAAATTCAGTGACTTGCACAGCACATAGCAAAATGTAAGAACTGAATACTTTTGTAAGCCTACTTATGTCCTTGTCTGGTAGAATTTACTTGATGATACACTGATAGGAGATACCATGCAAGAACAGCAATTCTTTGAGATGCATTAACTATAAATACTGAGAGTGCATATACTACACATCTCTCATTTACTACAGGGTAGACTGTCATATATAATCTTATATCCACGTGATAAAAAGAATGCAAAGAAACACTGAGTATCAAGAGAGGAATTTGCTAGTCAATATACACATGGACAACACAGACATAAAAATTGCAGTTGTTGGCAAATAATTATTTCTGCTGTATGTGCTTCACTACATACAGCACTGCTGTAAATAACCTAAGCAATACTGGATCATAGATTGAGATCTTTGCTGACTGGTTATGCAGAGTATCTTCTGAACATGACCATGATGTGACTCAGCAAGCTTTCCAAGCATTCCTGGTCCACACACCTAACATAGTGGTTGATCAGACTGAAAAAAAGAAACAAATTTTTACTGGGAAGTAAGCTCTTCTCACAAGAGAAATGCTCTAGCGTCTCATTCAATAACCATGCCTATCAGTTTCTTAGCTCAGCTGAAAGCATCTGGTGAGATGGAGGCCTTGGAGGTGAATTTGACTACTGGCAATCTATCATTCTGGTAGCAGAGAAAGCATATAGAAAACCAAAAGAAAACGGAACTATAAAATGATAACGGGGCTAAAGTTATTAACTTGATAATGCGAGCAGCACATTAACAGAAAACATACAAAGCAAATAGTGCTCTAATTCTGATAGAAATTATGAAGAACAGAGGAGAGTACAGTGCATCTCATGCTTTCATGCTTGTCTCCAAGATGCTGCCACCTTGGCTGTTGGGCCCAGCCATGTCAAGCAGTGAGGCTGTTGGAGCTGGCTGTGTCTGGTATGGAGAAACCCCAATGTCAGCTCACATAGGCTGGACATAAGGGAATACTTCTTCTCTGAGAGCAGTCTGGTGCTGGAAGGGGCTGTTCAGGGAGGTGGTGGAGTCACCAACCTTAGAGGTGTTCAGGAAATATTTAGATGTTATACTGAGGGGCACGGATTAGTGGGAAATATTTATGATAGGTGGACAGATGGATTGGATGATCTGAGAGGTCTTTTCCAACCCTACTGATTCTATGATTCTACTTTCATCTTACAATCATAATTATGTTGAGAACATAAGATTTTCAATAAGCCTTCCATTCCTTAAATCAAATAAGAATCCCTTAAGGAATTCACTGAAACAATCGTATACTTATTGATTTCAAAAGCACAAAATAGTTTCTCACTGAGATTTACTAATTAACTTCTCTCTGCCTCTTCCATTGATTTTAATGGTTCACACTGATGATTAAACATATGTCTGAGATTCAGTTGCTAACTGAATGAAGAAGAAAAATGTACAGGAAACCAAAAACTATTGTCAATTATGCACGGACAATGCCACAATATTGCTATTTTCAGGAGCGGAACTGATGAAAATATCTGCAAATCAGACAATGATCATTTAAACTGCTTTTGAAGTAACTGAGACATTTAAAATATTTAATAATAATTAAACTGAATTAATAATTGATTCACTAAATGAGAACAATCCTTATCAGCTGTGCACTATAATTCTTTTGAAATTATGATTTATGGAGTTTTGTACAGAATTCTGTTCTGAAACTCTTTAAACCTATAATTTATCTGTGTAAGTACATATTAATTTACTCCAAACAGTAGCAGTGTGTACTATAGCAGACAACAGTTTTTTAATCTTCCTAATCCTGCTAAAGATTGAACACATATACACTTCCACACAATGCAACTGTTTCATAACTGTGTACTTTTAAGGCTCTTTTGTGAGTATGAACACAGTTTCCTTTCCTTATGTGTAATAAGATGCATATACTTCTTTCATAGATGATGATTTTAGTGTTACACTAATTAATCAAGGAACTTTATGTATTTTTGTGGACTAAAAAAAAAAAAATAATTTCTCAGAAATTCCATTATCTATTCCATAGCACTTGTGTTCCATTAAAAACTGCGGATGCAAGATGAATAATTACTCGTAGATCATATTGGAAAATTAGTTAAACCTTCACTGCAACAGTTTACCTTCACCACAACTTACTTTCAGCCTGTTAAACTCCTTGATAATTACATTGCTTTAATTCTTTTGTTTGTTCTATATTCTGGTTCCTTTTATTTGTGTCACGTAATATGATTAACATTCTTTTCTTGATAGTTGACAGATCATAAAACACCTGATAAGAATGTTTGCTAGAAAGATGAAGCTTTGAACAATGGCAGACTTACCTAAGACATGGGATGCTGTCCTTCATCATTCCTTCGCATGCTACAGTGTTGGTACTACCTGAAAGACTCTTTAAAGAAGGAAGCTGGGAGGAGGCATCTGGAAATTGAGGAATTATTTCCGGTTCAGGAGTAATGATATCTTCTACTTCATACTGAAGTCGTACCTCTAGTGACTTAAATAAATAAAAAGCTGTCACAATTTAATAAGAAAGCTGCTGAAAGTTGTATTACTTTTAAATAAAATCTTTTTTTTTTTTCTCTTGAAGATTAAAAAAGCCCATATACCATAATTATTTGCAAGTAAAGAATACAGTCATTTGTTTTTTATACAGCCAGTCAGTAAAATTGTATAGGAACTTGTCATTTACCCTACACTGATGGAGAAATAATGAAGTATATTCTTCCTGTACTGCCTTTGTTCCAAGCATTTTATTATAAGTGAAAGAACACAGTTTTCCAGAACTTAGTATGAAAAGATATATTAATTACTTACTCTCAAGTAAACAATATTTTAGCATAAGAAAGCATCTGTCATAGTCAATGTCATGAAAATTTTCTGCTTATTGTTCATTACCATTTTCCTAAGCCAACTAATTAAAAGAATGATCATCAGCTTCCTCTCTATTGCAACTACAACACCATCTCTAAAAGACAACTTTCAGCCAGTATGCAGAAGTTTAAGTGGGTAGCACTGACCTATGAACTCCATCTGTCCTCATGTGGGGTCAGGAGCACAGAGTTCCATATTCTTTAAACTGTACAAGAGTTTGGCAGATTCTAGAATGCAAAGTCTAAACTACTTATCTTTCACTTTCCTTCTGAGCCCCCTCAGACAGGAAAAGGAGACCAACAAAGCTCAGCCATGTTTCCACTCTTTCCACTAATTCAGGAAACTTTAACTAAAGGAATTCCAAAACAAATGGGAAACTGTATGGGGAGTTCAAATCTATGTAAATAATCATCTCAAAATATCATGATAAATATTGGTCAATTCTTTCTACCTCATGAATTATCCAAGGAGAACTTCATGTTGAAAACAATTTAAAAAAAGGTAATTCCCTCAAAGAGATAATGTCTTGGGAATACTAGCTGAACAGTAATATCAGTGCTGGTTTCTTGAAGTGATCATACGCAATTGAAAATGTAGACACTGCAAACACCTCATGTAATGGTCTTTCATTGAGACATTATCTTCACCAAAATGAAGATGGAAGCATTAAGTGGGTGGTACATTTTAGCAGTGGTGACAGCAACATGAAAGACAAGCCATGCACAGCTGTCACACCACAAAATTAAGACCAGCTCAATCAGCTCAGCAACAGATTACTACGCAGAAGACTGTTCCTGAATGGAATGTTGGTTTCAATGCATTGGAAATGATAGTGGCAATGTTGAAATATTGCAAAATTTGTGCCAACCGGGTCCCGTGAATGCTCACACAGTAACAGAAAGAATGCTATATTCAATTTTTTCAGGATCTGTTGAGCCAATACGAGGCTGCAGGAGAGTTTCCTGAATTGCACCGCTACTGGTGACGAGGCATAGTGTCACTACTATGAGCGCTCCATGGAGCGGTGACATGAGAATTCTCCGCTGGCAGCCAGCCCACAATAAGTAAAGTGATGTGTACTGTCTTTTGGGATAGGAAAGGGGTGATCCTCCTGGATTTCCTGGAACATGCCCAAAACATCAGCTCTGACTGCCTATATCATGACACTGATTAAGCTGAAAGCTCAAACTTGCAGAGTCAGGCCAGAGAAGAACAACCCTTTTCTCCTGCAATACAATAATACCAGGTCCCATACCAATTTGAAGACTGTGGAGCACATGGCCAATCTTAGCTGGACTATCCTACTCCATCCAATGTATAGCCCAGTTTTGGCGTCTTCTGACTTCCATCTGTTTGGGCTGATGAAAGATGGATTGCACTGGTAACACTTTCCTAGAAATGATGCTATCGTGGGAGCTATGAAACAGTGGGTCACCTCCACTGGTGCAAATTTTTATGAGTGTGGCATACAGGCTCTTGTTCTCGTCTGAAAATGGATAGCTAATAGCGGTGACTACGCTGAAAAAGAATGTTTTGTAGATGAGAATCTGCTCTATCAACTAGTGTTATTGTACTCTTTGTATCTGTTGTAGTTTTCACATAAATAAATAGGAGACATTACTTTTGGAGCAATCTACATATGTCCTGAGGCTGACCAGCTCATTTTCAATATAGACAAAGCTATTGAATGTAAAGTCAGGTACATATTCCAACAAATGCTCCTGTATTTTTCTTAATAAAAAAGCACCATTTAGGAATGAAGACTTGAATGTTTGCAACAAAAAATGCTGAAAACAAGAGATGAGGCTCATCTCAGGGATGCACAGAACCCAGAGGAATTCACTTACTATGCTGAAAATATCAAATAATACAAAAATAACTCTTTACAGAACAACTTATTATATAAATACTTCTTAACTGTGGACGAAATCTGAGGAACTGTTAAATTGCTCACATTATTACACTTCAGAATATACCAGATCTGTTGCAACCAAGCTGAAAAACCAAAAGATATGAAAATAAAACAAAATGAATGTTAACTAATAAAAGATAAGACACATTATTTGAAATAAAATATCAACACGGACATGTAATGTTTTTAGCAATATTATATGTGAGCTAGGTGAGACCACTATTTATTAGTTTTATTTAAAGCATATCGGAAAGGATGCATTGAGTTAGCTAAAAGTTGCTCTCCAGAAGGAAAAAATGACAGGAAAAGAACAGAATGGGTATTAGTAATGAGTCTCCATACCAACTGGCACATGATTTACAGGCCAACAGTGACACAGATGTTTTTGTCAGGCTAGAACTACAGCCTTTCTAAAGGACATTACAATACCCTCACTGTAAAAAAGTTCTTCCATATATTTGTTTGAAACTTCCTATGATCCATTTTTTGGCCTTTGCTCCTTGTCCTATCACTACACACCATTGAAAAGAGTCTGTCCTCATCTAATTGCTTCCTGCACTTTAGGTATTAATAGGCATTGATCAGATCCTCTTTCAGTCTTCTCTTCTCTAGGCTGAATCAACCCAGGTCTCTTAGCCTTCCCTTGTAAGGGAGATGCTCCAGACCCATTTAGATTGTGTTTCTCTTAAGAATTGTCTGCTGTTGAATATTTTAGATGAATGAAAGAATATCTTACATTTAAAGTGTTGTTGAACCACTCTATTAGAAGTGGTTGTCACTACTGTGCAGAAATGCAAGGTTTAAACCAAAGTCTAACTTGCTGTATGATGAGTAAGTATCAGATGACTGCAAAGCAGTTAAAAGAACATGAACTGTGTGATTCTACCTGAAATGAAGCGACTGCTTAAGACATGAAAACTCAAAAAGGAGTATTTGAATAGGACTGAAGCTCAAGATGCTTAAGAAAATATCAACTACTTAGACATAAATCACCTTGCTTTTCAAATAGTGTCCATTTTGAGGGAAGCAAAGTCAATATAAGCCAGGAAAAAAAGAAAAAAATTAACTTGCTTTATTTTGTTAAAGTGAGTGATAATTTTCAGTCCCCTTTTATTACAAATATGAAAATAAACTGAAGATATGAAATAATTGACTTGAGTAATGTTATCTAGGAAAAACATACATCAGTCAGTATTACAAGAGCACTCAGTACAGCAGAGATGTACTGTACTGGAGTCTTAAAAGTGAACTACATCAGACAACCATCCTATAGTATGTTACTATTAGTAAAAAATAAGAGATCTGGATCCCAAAACCTCGCTCATCTTCTCATCATCTTAAGTACAATCAATATTTCATTCAAAAGGTTTTAAATGCAATATTCCTAAATCTGTGTTTTTACAGCTGTACACTGACACAGAAGTCACTTTCATCTAGAGATGGTGTTATTTCACAAACAAGTAAAATTCTGAATGACTTACCGCAATTTCAGTATTTACTTCATGTTTGCTGAATCTATAAACAACCACATATGCAGAAACTCCTGCCACACAGAAAATTCGGCTTTCAGGACACCAGTACATCATTTGAACTGCAAAAGGGTCTTCTTCCACAATCTCAGCTGTTGCTTTTCCTTCCCCTGGCTTCTGTTTTTCAAAGACTTTTGATGTTTTTAATTTGTACAACATCTGCAGAGTAACTGGAATATATTAAAACAAACAGAAAAACCTGATTAACCATAAGCAAATCAGTTAAAAAATTCTTCAGTTCCCATTTTCTTTTCAATGGTAGCACAACAAAGAACTACATGAAGGCCTAAGAAGAGAAAAAGATGGGTATTATACAATACAGATTTTACAGTGGTACACAGTACCAGTAGCATTATGTATTTAATATTTACAAAATGGATATTTGTCTGTGAAATACTTTTTATTAGCTTCTGAAGCAGAATGTAAAAGGTGATTATTATGTCCATGTTGTACGTCCATATCTAGGCTTACACTCGAGCTCTATTTTCTTAATCACATGTGAAACAAAGATTTCTTTTTCTTGCTATAAAGATTGTATGGAGTGCTAAGTGAAAAAATGTGGAATATATTCTGGTGGCCTGGCAAGACAAAGTCTTTCTGAAAGGAAGGTGCTCTGATTTTCTTGACTAATAAGCATATCTGTATTAACACCTGGCTATAAAAACCTTATTATCTAGAAGCTTTATTCAAGAATACATCTGCAATACTGTGAATTTTGGAGATAATAGGAATTAAAACTAACCACGTTTTGCTTTATTGACATTGCTCTCTGCTGTGTGTTGTTTTTCTGTTTGCTTGTTTATTCTTACTACTTTTGCATTAATTTATCATACTAATCAATCACTGTGTAAGATCAAAAAGTCATGCAGGCCCACTACCTATTAGGGTGTGTATATACATAAAAGTAAAGCTGTTGCATATATTACTGTAACTGTGCTAGATCAGCCCAGCTATCCTAGGCAATAAACAATGACAAGATGAAAGAGCCTTCTAGTTATGTAATCAGATGGCAAACACATCAAAATTACATTTCCTGTTTGCTGGTCACATATATTTCTAGGAATCTTAATATATACAGTACCTCTCCAGGGAGGTGGTTGAGTCACCATCCCTGGACGTGTTTAAAAACTGTTTGGATGTGGTCCTCAGGAACATGATTTAGCAGAGGGTTGTTAGAGTTAGGGTAGTATGGTTAGGTCGTGGTTGGACTCAATGATCTTTAAGGTCTTTTCCAACCTGAGCAATTCCATGATTCTAAATCTTCACAAATTGCAGCAAGTGCTTCTGTAATGAACACATCATTCTCCTGAGTTTTGTGGTAGTGGAAAGGCCTCAAGATGCCTTTTTCCAGTGTCAAATCCAGATTGGCAGTCAGAATTAGGGGCAGACTTCTTGGATCTACTACTTGGGTCACGTACTAAAATAGGAAGAATTACAGAATCATGGGGCACAAGTACAAGGCAAGATTCCATGCCTTACACTTCTACAAATTATTAGGCACCACTGATACATATTTTGTACAAAGATAAACTTGGAAAGCTGCTTCAGTGGCTTAGCATTTGCCTGTCTCCCAAATATCTATGTTTTCAGATACACAATTAAAATATGACTAAAAGCAAAGTACTTTGCTCCTTCAAATAAGAGCAGGATATTATGTTTGACATGAATCCTCAAATTATATTTGAATTTGTTTCAAAAGCTAAGACATTGTAAAGCTTTGTAATAACTAAAGCTTTGTAAATAGTAAGTACAAGCATGGTACTGGTAATGCTGTAAATGTTCTGAAAAGCAGGACTAAGGATGTCAGAAATGCGTGGAGAGTTCTGTTACTGTTAAAGAGATCCATGAATATTCCTCCTCATCTAAGCTTTTACCTCTAAGAACAGTTCCTACTGCAGCAGAGAGTTATGTTTATATCCAATGAGAAGTTTTTCCATTTTTTTCCTTTCCTCATTCTCTTGTTGACCTCATTACAATTCCTTTATTTTTGGTATTCATGATAGCTTGAAAATGCTGGATGATGCAAACTCTAGAAAGAAACTCTAAGAAAAATGCATCTTTTTTTTTCTCATATAGGAAATGAGGCTTTAGAGTCTCATTTTCTCTTCGATAATCTTGATGAGTGAAAAGATTTGGTATTAGGCAAAACCAGAAATATTTGACAAACCCATGAGGTTTAACTTACATTAAAGTATCGTAAATGTTCTCCACATTTGGCAATGGTAACAACATTAATCATGCCAATTATGTGGTGGGACGAGAAGTCAGCAGGCATTTTAAGTATTGGTATAGTCAGTATTATCATCACATCAGACTGTTTATTAGGGTCAAACAAAATCTCTATGTCTAGCATTTCAGACAACAGATTATTTCACGCTCGCTTCTTTAGGAAATGGGAAGAGACTGCTAACTCATGAAAGAGATATTCTACCCCAAGAACCCAATATTACTGAGGAGAGAGAATACAAGGCAATTAACTATGCTGTAGAATTTATGAAGCACAGAGATGTTATTTGAAATGAAATACCATAGCTTTCAACAAAACTATGTGTGTATTTTTAATAAATACATTGTTATAATAAGCACCATATGTATTTCCTATAGGGAAAAATGCTGTTCTCTGACACATTTAATTAAAGCTAAAACATATGGAATAACTATTTTCTGATGCTTTTTCCTGATAGGATGAATGGAAATGCTCTTCCCAATTAATTCCTGGAATTTGAGACTGAATAAGTACAGATGCAGGTCTTTAACTAAGATGTCTTACTATATTTTAATGTTTTGTTTTTATCTAGCCATAAAAAAGACTACATTATATCACTGGGGCTATTTCAGCTTACTGTATTATATACACAATAGGATTATCCCTATGGAATTATTTAACAGTACTTCATTCTTCCTAGGTTTTGGCATGTTAGATCTAAAGTTTTTATCCCTATTCTGGACTTTCACCTCTTCTCTGCTTAAAATATTCCATTAATAGTAATTTTCTCCTAATTTAATCAAAATTTGCTTGATGACGCCTGACCATAACCTAGTTACAGCATTACAGATACTAGTATTCATACTGTAACACATCATGTATTACATGTAAATATATATGTGTGTACGTGTGATTTTTCAGCATTGTATGAAAGTGAACTTCAAAAACTTACTGGCAGAAGCATCCCAAAACTTTACTGATCCATCTGCATGGCTTAAAAAAAAATAAATTAAATGTGTTAAAACATTATGCATTTAAAGAACATTTTCTGCTTTCACTGACTGATAAATAGAAGTAGAAAAACTGTATTTTGCTTCTGTGTTAATTCTCCATGCTTTAATGACAATATAAAGGTGTATCTACTAACCATAAGGAAATATTTTGTTATTCATATGATTGATGGAATACCTTTTGATGAAATCCCTATAGACAACTAAGCTGGCTATGATTTTTAAGATCACAACAGCACAAAATTAATTCATTTACTAATGCCAAGTTTATGATGCAGCACTTCTGGCCTCACAGTGTGCAAGTATCAAGCCTGTAAGCCCAAGAACTCTAAAAATGCCACGTATATCTAATTTTGAAAAGTCAGAGGTCAGGTTCATTTTGTTTAGCACCTAACTGCCCTGTTCTTTTTGTTAATAGAAAATAATCCTTGAAATATAATTGTAGAAAGGAGACACTTCTGTTTACAAGAATAATTTATTCTTCCCCTTACTGATGCTATTGCACGTATCATAATTTTTTTAAAACAGGTTTTAACTATCATTGATTATAACAATTTATCAAATATACTGCTATCATCAGTGTGTCTGAGACCAGAGAAAAATAGGAGTGTATCATACAAGAAGGCTTAAGAGCTTCTGTTTTATAGGGTGTCCCCTTGAAAACCCATCAGGCATTGCTCTTAGGGCTTCTACTGCAATTTGAGCCTTTTTATGCCTTTTTCTATGGGACTGTCCATCACTTAAAAGGTGAAATAATCCCAGTGCAACACATCTCCACTAATGATATGGTATTAAAATGACTTCCTAAATCAACAGATATAAAATCCCCAGAAGACCAAAGGACAACAGACACAGAAAAACAGCTGGCTCCCATTTTAATGCTATGGCCTTCCAACAAATAAATGGATTGCAATGCATTCCCCTTTTCAAAGATCCCACCTTCACAAGTTGATTTCACAAGTAGACTTGCCATCTAACGCTGGGGCCTCAATCAGTAATTCTTAACAGCAGTACATTCTTGAACACAAAGTTCTATTTTCTACAGCAAATGGGAATTTCTGTGGTGATTTTACACCCAAAAGAAAAGCTACATATCTCAACACAAAAGGTTAGGACACACATACCCTGGCAAAGGTCAACACTTGCCCACAGACAACCCAAAATTAAAAGTTCCAGACATTAACATTTTAAAAGAACAAAAATTTTCATTCTCACCCTGTAATAATGATTTCAGGATATGTCTGAGCTCCAAGATTCCATGCTCCACCACTGATAGGCCATTCCTAAATGAACAACAAGAGCATAGAGATGAAAGCTAATCCTGATGAATTCTGCTTGGTTAATTTTTAGACTTATGAGCAGACAACATCATCTTCCAAAAAGCAATACATCTAAAAAAGGAAATGAAAATATAGCGTAGCATTCAAGGCTTTTAAAGCTTATTAGCATTTTACAAATTAAGGCTTTTAAGTTTTGTTTTGTTTTAATTTACTTTAACAACTAAAGTTCTATCTTTTTAAATGATTATTGCATAGCTAACACTGCAAACGTTCAAAACAGGAAGTAGAAGAAGGAGCAGTAAACATTTTTGTTACTGTTTTCACATTGGAGCTTCTATAGGATGCTGAATAGAACTGAGAATCCATTCTGAGGATGGAGACTACTGTAGAAACTGGCCCAGAAAAGTGGGAAACGAGAAACTGAGCATCATGCTATGGGATATGAAATAAGGGAATGCAACTTTCACAGATTGTATGAAACCATCATCTCTTCCTTGCCTTTTATTTATTAGTGGAAAGATTCTCACTCTTTTCCTTGGTCTATGCTGGTTGAAGAAAATGGTGATCTGTGCCTAAAGCTTGTTGGGAACAGGTGCAGAGTGAGTAAAGATTCGTACAGAGTATGAGAGGATAGAAATATCTAGGAGAAAACTGGTTCTGAGAATGCACAGACAGCATGCATCTGAGAAAGGAGTGAGTGGTAATGGCTATCTATATTCTGCACATTTATAATGTGTGCACAAATAAAGCAAGTTGTATTGAGAATTTACAAGGAGTACAGATACGTAGTGAAATTTCTGGGCAACTATGTATGCAAATTTAGGATAAATAAGCAGACAAATTCTAGTAAGAGAAAAAAACATTTTCTGAAGTACTTGGTTGAATTAAGATCTCAAAGAAGTATATAAGGCCCAGATTTTCAGTTCAAGAAAAACAAGGCAGCTCTAAGGAAAACTATTCTTTTAATACAAAAAGAAAACTGATGCCCAATTTGCTTACTCAACATTTTTTTCTAATTTATTTATTGTGATGGATTAGTTCTAAGCAAAACATAAACCAGATTAATGCTTGAAATGTATAAAGTAATTCAATTCCCTATTTTTATTTCTGCAGCTTGGGTTATTTCTAAAACCCTTACATTAAGACTACAGTAGCTCAATAAACCAATAACTAATATCCTTATTTAATGGAATGCTGTCAACCTTCAAATTCCACCGAAGATCTGCTCTGCATTATAATCGTTTTATACATTATTTCTGTCTTTGATACAGATAACATTTTCAGACAAATTCAAATTTTACATTGATGGCATTCTTTTAAGTCAATCTAATCTCACATAATTCCAGCAGCCTAATGATGAAGTCCTACATAATGGTGGCTTGATGCTTATGGTTCAGTGGTAGTAGATATTACTGAGCAATGAACATCAAGCCATAAGAAATCACAGAAGGAAAGCTGCATCTAATCTGCAGGCTGGACTAACTTGAAATTGGTTATTAAAGAAGTAAAATGAAAAGAATTTGGCAAGATATTTCAAAGACACGGATAGTACATGTGTTTTTTTTCTCAAAAAGTACTGGTTTTGTTTACCTTATTGCTGTATCCTTGCTTTTTATGTTTTGCTCCTACAGAATAGAGTACAGGAATCAAATCTGGAGGACAGTCGGCAAAATATTCTGTGCAGGTGACAGGTGACTCATGAATGTCAATAGGATATGGATTTTCAAAGATTGGAAAACTAGTCAAGGAAGACAATTTATTAGAAGCACGGTGACATACTGAGCCATATAAGAACATATATTCTTATTAGAAAGTATGTAACACAATCTAAGTAGAATAATTACTGATAAAATACGTTTTTCATTATTTTTTTAAACATACATATTGTTTTTAGTGTCAATAGAAACTTGTAGTTTTAACAATGTACAAATTCCTATGCTGTGATAGTAATCTCTTTTTTTCCTTAGTATAAATTTTTTCAGCATCTCATTTATGAGATACAGAAATCATATATTTTCTAGAAGCTTCAGGTTCATTCATATGATGTATACCATGACCTAAGAACTAACTATTCAACTGCAGATTTTATATTTAACAGTTCTGTTCATTGTGTTGATATACTACTGATTCTACAGCGAACAACTGCAATAACAGATGAAGTAGATTTCAGTTTACTTCCCCCTTTCATCAGTTTGGACTATCTGAAAAGAAAGAAAGCCTCATTTCTGGCAGATTACAAAATGTTATTCACAATTCAAAAATGCAAGAAATTTGGTCTGATTTCATTCGCATCCATTTTATACTGCTGAGATGATTGGAACTACTCGTGGAAGTGAATGAGGTCAGAATATGATTTACTTTAAAAAGTTTCAAATCTTTACAGAACAATTCTTAATTATACCAGTGTGAATGTGGATGCCCTTTTTGACACAGAACAAAACAAATAAGAATCACATCCGGCATTATATGATATATATGAACACTGATTTTGATGTGAAAATATTATTTGTCATTTAAAACAACAAATGGATCATGAAAGAATCCCACAGATCCAGCATAAATCAGTGCTGTTATTTACTAAGATACATGAGTAAATACTTAAGTGGTAGTCCTTGTGGAGACCATGAAGTTAGACATGCATATAGGTACTAGCTGAATGTAATTTCTAACATGAAAATTCAGGGTGCAATTCAGCAATTGTCCACAAATCACTTAACTTTGATGCTGTGTTTGAGGACTATGCTGAAGGGACTGCAGATTTAGATTTATTCCCAAACTTACAAGCAAGCTTCTATTGATTAGTTGATCCTAGTTTTTAAGGTGGAAGCAAACATATAGACTGTATGATTTTGTGCAGTAAAATGACATTCTATTATATCATTTGGATTTTTTTAAATCATCAAATTCTAAACACTTGAGAAGTATCCATAACTTCACATAAGATTTTATACTTACTTGCTTTGTGTCAGGTCAACAACAATGAGATCTTTTTCCAAAAGAACAACTACAGCATAGGGTTCTTGAAATTCTGTAAGAGAGGAATCAAGTATAAAAAACAATGAATTTCTTCCCCTAGTCACTTCAAGCATGCTAGTCACATTTATGTTCTCTGAGTATTTACAGTATATTAAACAAAATCTAGAAAGCATTTGATTAGGGACAAATAAGAAATGAGAAAAGAAATAACTTTCATGACAGAATACATGACAAGAAACAATATAGGTATTGTAAGGGAACTGTTGAGTCACAGCCTGAACCACTGATTGATCACCTGGAGAAAAGACTGGCTCAGCCCTGGGAGCACAGGTGAAGGCAATTCAGCTGTGTGACCAGAAGGGGTGGAGCCTGGCTTTTCTATTGTACTGATCTGTCCAATTGCTACAGGCATAATATAACATTCTAGCATGATGGAACACTGAAAGTAATGAAACAGAATGTGAGGAGGTTGTGTGTGTTATGGTATTGTTGAATCCAATTGTTACTCAGAAAATGACTTTTTTGCTGCCCAGCATTAATACTTCTTCTATGCAAAACTATTTCTTAAAAACAGACTGTGAACAGCTAGTCCAGTCCACTTGATATACAATGCCTTTGTTTCCAAAGCAATTTGAAAGGAAGATCACAAGGAAGACTTCTCTATATCTTCATTTTAACAATAACAAGGAGAGTTAAAGAAACAAAAAGAGTATTAAAGAAATGACATGAGTACTCTGACAGCACAAGTGTTTCAAATAATACAGTTGTGCTGCAGACATAGTAAGAGTGAAATACCTAGAGTGAACTTAAAGCACCGAAAGAACTGCAAATTAAATTTGATTACTGAAAATTACTTTTATTGCATGACGTTAAAACAAATAGCGTTGTTTTTAATATATATTTTGATTTATTATTGTGTAAAAGACTTATTTTATTCTTCTAACTGGGGGCTTAGAAAGACAAACTTAGCTTCTTTTTCTCTTGCAGCTTTTTAAACTTCACTTAACAGAATTTCATGTGAATTCAGCATTTGGCAGTCTCTTAACATGTAGCAAAACACTTTAAGATACATAAGCACTTATGTTTGATTAAGAGACTATCCCATGTTTCAAATTTGCATCTTGAAATTTAAGCATTCTTTGTTTCCCACTAATTACTTGTCTTTTTTATGTTCAGAATCCAAACAAGTTTCAGTTACTTTCAGCAACTTTTAGCAATAGGGGATTTTTGAGATGGAGACAACTGTAAGAATGGAAGTTCACGGACAAGAATTCGGCTATTAGAGAAGTTCAGTTATTTATACTTTCTATAACTCTATTTTTGCTTAATGAACTCACCATTTGGGTATGGGGTTTCACAAAGAGTTAAAAAATCAACTATGGGATGATCCATTTCAAGAACTGTAATTGCTTTCCCATGCATAATCGTTAGACTTGGTCTTCGACAAGCCTTATCATATGACAACCCACCGGAAAATATCACAAATGGTTCACTGTATTAAATATAAAAACATGGTAATCATAAGTTTATGTAGTAAGTTTACATTATAGGTGTAATGTCTTAACAGCTTTAATATCTTAAATAGCTTTGCAAAAAAAAAAAAAAGAAAAAAAGATTGATTCAGAATGTATTAACTCATGAATGTAACACTGAAACATACCTGTTCTTACAGGTTTTGTACTCCACTTTAAGAATTGGTTTACAGGATTCAGGTTTTTTTCCATCTCTTTGAATTTTTCCTGAGGAAAGAAAGAGGATGGAAACTGTATTAAAACATCGTGATAACAGAACTAATCAATCTATGAAACCAAAATACACTCCTTGAAGTAGCTACATAATCAGAAAGAGAATTTTAAAGCTGCATGAGATGGTGAGTATTAATGTCTGTTTCCCTAAAATATGCATGGTTAAATTAATTAAACTTATTATAGCTTTAAGTTTCTACTGCTACATATGTCTGAAGGATTACAGATAACACTAGAAAAAATCTGAAAATAAGAGAAGGATTACACTCAGCTAATAATTACTGCATTTCACTGACAGTACACCTTTTCCTGCTCAAGGATGAGCATAAACAGCTTAATTTTTTTCTTAAAAGACATAATTAGTTGAGAGATAAAATTAAATGAAAAGTACACTTTAAACTCATGGGTTCTTTGTTAATTCTGGTTTAGAGAAAAGTCACTTGTAAACAATGATAAAAAAAAATCCAAAACAACTTTGTTTTGTTACTTTAGAAAGTCCCTGCTTGTTTTCAACAATAAATAAAGACACTAGTAAACAACAAAATATTGTACTACTTCTTTACATTTTTACTATCAAAATTACCATGTGGGATTGTGGTCTGGAACGGTCTGTTAGGACTTTTCAGGTTCCACAAAGTCAGGCTTCCGTCAGAGTGACTGCACATAAACTGTTTTCCTTCATGGTGCCAAGCAACAGAATGAATAGCCTAGGAAATGAATGAAGAACTTGAGAGTGAAAAGCAATATACACTGTTTACACTAATGCAATTTTAATCTATGACTCTGAATTATATTTATCTAATGGTATATCAACAGTTGGATGAATTTTGTTTGTCTAGAGTCCATTAAAAGCACTTTTTAGTAACCAGTAGCTATAATCTACAGGTAATTGACAAAACAATCCATTATAAATGCTAACAGGGCACAAGAGTGGCAGAAATTCTACTGAATCAGATTAGAATCATATTAAAATGGAAGAAACAGGATAATAAGTAAAAGGTATACAAACAAGGGATATGCAACACAAGAAACATTTGATTGCTCCTTTGAACTATTTCATTTCCCAAATGTATGGGAATGCTGTGCAATGGTTTTTATTGATAGCATACAACAGATGTGAGCTTTCTGAGAGGATGTATTAGAAAAAGAGTTCTGTTCTTGGATCTTCTTACCTCCCCATATCTAGGCTTCAGAGAAAGTACCTTGAAACCTGTTATGCTTCATATAAAAACAAAATGACAAAGCAGGTTTGTTTCATTGATAAAGGAATGATATAAGATCATTTGGGAAGACCTAGTGCTGCAGAGAAGAGGAATATCACACACTCCTGTGTACATAATGCAAATAGAACATATTGAATTTTACATATAGTAAAAGGGAACGCTTCAAAAATTAATCAGGCATTTTTAGTATTTCATGTGTAGTTAGTAGAACTGGGCACAAGATATCAGAAGTTAAAAAATGGATTATACACTTAAAATGAATAATAACATCCACAATTATGTCTTAAAAAAAAAAAACAGTGCAAGTCTTTTCTTTTCACTAGTGCATTCTGAAAGCTGGTAAAGGCCATTTTCAGGGAGAATAATGTATGTGGTTCATTGATTACCACAGTTTCTCACACGCTCCCTCAGAAGCACAAACTCACATATTTTACTTCTGAATGTATTTCCCTTTCAGGAATGTTAGCTGCTAAATAGCAAGAAAAAAAAAACAAAAAAAAACCTATCTATTTTTATGTAAATAGTAAGGACTTGTTTGTGAATGTACTCTAATAAATTCTTTTTTACAGAACCCTGCAAATGCTAAAGGCTTGCATGTACCTACAGTTGCATGTGGCTTGCTTTACCTAACTTATTCAAATCACTTTAAATGCAGAGTGTTGATTTTATAAATCAACATTGGAGTTGTTCTTATCAATTTCCCTTAAGCTGATAAGAAATGAACTTAGTATTGCTGATCGCTCTTTAAAACTCCCTGCTGGCTTTCCTTTTTTAGTAAGTAGATTGCTATGGGTGGTAGTGGCTCAGAATCAGAACAAAATTTTAGAGAAGGAAAAAAAAAAAAAAGACAAATGAAAAGGTTGTGTCCTCTTCCTGGAACTTTATTCAGCTCCTGAGGCTGGACATAGCCACAGCACAGCCACAAATCAGGATTTGCATTGAGATACCCCAGATATTTTAGGAGGATTGCAGCCTCCCTTGTATGTGAAGGCTTTGCTAGCTCTGGTAAGCCAGTTATGCCAATTAGGAATCAGCAAACTGAGCAGAACAACTTGAACTCCAGACAATCCTCTTCAAGTGACATAATGGGTGTCAGTCAAATTTTTACCTACCAAAGTGTGATTGTCACACAATTCCTCCTAAATACCCCAAAAATACCAAATTGCAACTGAAATAACAAAAGATAATGTAAAAAGATGGCTCACATATGATCAATCACACAGCAGTAACAATGGTAATAAGAGCCTTAGATCTGTGTGGAGCACTTCATTTCTATCCCTGCACAAATTAATCCTGCCTTAACTCATCCATGATTGCTAACACAACAAATTCAGCATTTCACTATGCTTGAGCAGGGATTAGTAGCTAGCAGGAAACAACTGTACTAAGCTGCTAGTTAAACTAGCTCAGCTGTTAGGTGCCACCTGCCAACATATGTCTCCTGTTAAGTGGAGCTGAGGAGAAATGCTCCTACAGTCACATAGAGTTGCTATAACACAGCTCAAACTCACCTGATAGATTGCTCCACAAAGGTAAAGAAATACTTAGGATTTGTTTTGGAGTCTCAAACGGGAGTCGTGACTAACACTAACTGGTAGGGCACTAAACAAGTCCCTAATTTTCTCTCTGCTAGAATGTTGTCTAGTGTTCTGATCTACTTCTTTAGCAACCTCAAAAAAACTGAGCAGTTATTTCATTAGAACAAGAGTTCATCGCAGTAGATGACTCATATGAATGTTCACACAGTGTATACACATAAAACATATCACTCCAGATTGGGTATGTCTCTCCTGTAGTATCAACAGTGGCTGCATACGTACTCCATCTTCCTATACTCAGCATAAGCATACTCAACACCATTGCAGTTCTCTCCCAAGAACAGAATTTCTCCACTGAGAAGAAATGATGGATACTCCAGGACCACTTTTAACCGTAGCCTGAACAAGCACCATACTCATCCTATCATTTAAATCTCAAGAATCCTTTGTATTAGCAGTACTGCAGGACCAGTGCATCAGATTTGATGTTACCGTAATGGCACAGTGCTTGAGGAAGGTGGGGAGGGAGATGTCATTTGGGAAATGTCTCTGAGAACTCTGCAGCTTTGTTCTGGAGATGTGTCATAATGAGAGATAATATTTATGCTATAGACGGCCCTGAATATGCTTTGACGCAGCCAGTCAAACTTTTGAAGTCTGCATAAGAAGATGGTTGTTTTTTCTAGGAGTTGTCAACTATCAGTAATAACTTGCAGGTACTTTGAAGCATCTGCCTTGCTTGTGTACTCTCTTTTATATTGATCTATGGGAAAAAAAAAAAAAAAACAACTTCTGACAGAATAAAGAAAACGGTTTGCAAGCCTCTGAATATCTCATACTCAATAGATGTGATCACTGCTGGGAAGATGACAATCATAAGTACACCAAGAAACAAACTTGCATTTGGCAACTCAAAGAGCGGGCGCAAGAGTCTAAGCAGCAGCTCCACTTTGGCACCAGGTGTCTCACAAGTGAAAACATCTTAGTCTCTTGAGATTTGACATAGTAGGGAAGGGCACACTGCATAAGGAGCTGATGAGCTGAGACAACTTCTTGCTTATCTCAGCTGTGCTAGAAGAGAGATAAGACTAATTTTATCTCTAGTGAGTAGAACATAAGCAGCAGAGAGAAGCTTCAAAGGGAAGATGTAAGGCTTACAAAAACACTGGATATCTAGTAGAGAAGTTCACAATAATGCAAACTGTACTGCTACTGCCTTTCCTATCCTTGGTGAGAACCTCCCTCGTTTGAAATAAGCAGATATTTTATGTATGAAAGGTTTCCAGCCTTCTTGATATGAAGTATGGCATGACTAAGATAGAGTAGAAAATACAGTTATGAATGCTTCAATTACAGGTTTGTGAACAAGGGACACAGTACTCATGTCCCCAGTTACAGGCTGTTGCATTGTCTAAGACAGGTGTGTCCATGACATCAATCTGGATGGAAGGAAAATGAAAGGACATATTTCTGCAAGTACTGGACAGATCTTGATAATATTATAGTAATTAACTCATCTCCCAGTCATAAGATTATCCATGCTCTGAGGAGATGCCTGCAACATGTCACATATCCAAATCTGCAAGACTCATGTGATATGAAGCATCATGCTTGTGTTAAGAATACAGTGCAGCTTAGAAAGGATAGGTAAGATTTCATAATAATGTGCTAGGGGACACTAAGAGCCATTATCTCTTTGTAATCCTTTTGTTAGCCAACTGTTCAAGTGTGTAATGAAAGGGAACTTGTTTAATCTGAGCTGAGTGTCCACTCTAAGACCCGAATTTAAAAAACAGCACTCAATATAATGAAAAAAAAATGAAAGAGACTTAGAGAAAGCTTCTCGCTAATAATGACATGGAAGCATTTCTTATGGCTATACAAAACAAAGCATCTTCAAAGTCATGACATATGAAATTATTCTTCTCTCTAAGAACTGAATGACAGCAGATGTAGTTCTCATCTTGAACTTAGAAAAAAGGAGTATTTAGATTTGTAGATGCATAATCAGTTACCAGCCTACTTTCTACTTCAGTATCAAAAAAACCTGCAATTAAATTCTTGTCCCTATGCTACACAGCAAGTGATTCTACAGATCTGAATAATGAAGAGCCTGCTTCTCAGCAGGTCTATGGAGACAGAAATCCAACATGACTGAGGATCCTGTGAAAGGATGAGTATCAGGATGGAGTCTTGAGGATGTGTACTTCTATTTTGGGTGACATGACCAAGCTGGATATCTATCTGAGAAAGAACTAGCCTTGGTGATGAAAACTCAGGTGCATCAAAGACAACAAAAAAATCTATTTCACATTCTAAGTACAAAGGGCCTCTTAATGGAGAAGTCTGGTTCCAGGAGAATTTCTGGTATTAAACTGAAGTGGTTGCTCCATTGATGAATCAAATCAAGAAAGTGCCATCTGACTATCCTCAGCAATGCTGGAAGAACATATGGTGACTCAGATCAGACTCCCTGTTCATTCATCATCAAATATGGTGACTATATTAGCTTCAAAATTTGCTGAAGAAAGTAGGGGGTGCTCCAAAAGTAATGCATCTCATTTTACTGTGTTGGCCCACAATGTCAGAGGCATATGTTGCTGGTATGGCAGTGGAGGTTGAACCTTCCCGCCAATACTCCATTCAATTTTGTTGCCATGCAACACATGGCAACAGATGACAAAATGGTGTCTAACAGGAAATGAATATGGAGCAAAAATGTGCAGCTGAATTTCTCCACGCACAAAAAAAAAAGAGCAGAAGAACCTGCTGAGGCCAAACAGTGGATGCGAGCACCGTGAAGTTGTATGTGTTTCAGGAGTGGCAATATGAAAGACAAGCCATGTTCTGGACAGTCATGTGTGGCAGGTGGCTCCAATGAATTCTCACACAGGAACAGAAAGAATGCTGTACTCAAGTTTTTCAGGACCTACTGAACTAACCTGAGATTACAGGTGACAGTTTCCTGGATTGCATCATTACTGGTTGTCATAGCTTGGCTTAGTTCCATGACAGTATGCGAAGGGACCCATGGACCCATGCACTGGGAAAGGGGGAAGGGAAAAAAGGTAGGGATGGGCTTAGATGAGAGAAACAGCAGCAAAGAGCTAAGGGAAAAAACTTGATTTACTAAATATAATAGCAGAATGTGAAATAATACAATACAGTATGATTGGAATTGAAGCCAATAAAGCAAACAAAATGAAAGAGAGAGAGTTTCCAAAAGTGAAGTCCTTACTCTAAGGCTGTAGGTGAGATGGTGGAAGCAGTCTTGTGACTCTCAGTCAGGTTTATCATTCCCTCTGAGCAGAAAATAGAAATGGAACAGTGAAGTCTTCTGGGAGTTGCAGTTCATTCTTCTCTTCTGAGACCAGGAAACAGGGAATATCGACAATTCATGGAACTGCAGCATTAACTCTCTAACTTCCAGAACAATACATGATGTTATATTATGGAATACCTATAACAAGCCACAAAACCATGACACTGGTGACAAGGCATAGTGTCACCACTATGAGGAGGAGTCAAAATGGTACTCCATGGAGTGACGACAAGAGAATTCCTCACTGAAGATAAAGTTCAAGACGCAACCCTCAATAAGTAAAGTGATATGCACCGTCTTTTGGGATAGGAAAGGGATGATCCTCCTGGATTTCCTGGAACATGCCCAAACCATCAGCTCTCACCTCCTACACTGTGACAGTGATTAAGCTGAAGGCTCAAACTTCCAGAGCCAGTCCAGAGAAGAAGAATCCTTTTCTCTTGCAACACAATAATACCAGGTCCCATACCAATTTGAAGACTGTGGAGCACATTGCCAATCTTAGCTGGACTGTCCTACCCCATCCACTGTATAGCCTGAATTTGGCATCTTCTGACTTCCATCTGTTTGGACTGATGAAAGATGGATTGCATGGACTCATTTTCCTAGCAATGATACCATCACAGCATCTGTGAAACAGTGGGACACCTCCACGGGGGCAGATTATTATGAATGTGACATGTAGGCTGTTGTTCCTGGTTGGTGAAAATGCATAGATACTGGTAGTGACTACACTGAAAAAGAGTGTTTTGCAGCTGAGAATTTGCTCTATCAAATAGCGTTATTGTGCTCTTTGTATCTGTTGTAGTTTCCATGGAAATAAACAGCAGACAATAAGATCCTGACACTCTTCTAGAACCAAAAACATTGCGTAATACCAGACGCTCTGAAGAAAACAATTCCATCCCAGCTGTAACTAAGACATCTTACTTCTGGAGTGACCTATGTATAATAGCAATAGAAGAAATGAGTCTAGATTAACCTCATTCATACTCTGTTCAAAGAGGCACTTTGATATTTAGTGAAGGTACAGAACAATCATACCACTTAATCAAAAATCACACAGATACCTTGAAACTGCTGTCTGCTGGCCAAAATAACAATCCCCAAAGACTGGTAAGAAGTCAGGGAACACAGGGCCCTTGCATCAGTCCACACAGAATGATGAAGGGTATTAGTATTTCTCAACTCTAATCTTAGATGACAAATATCTATGATAAATCTTAGGTTTGCAATCCTTTGTTTTGGTGCCAAATACTAGCTGGCACATGCTGAACTAATAATATGTGACTCATAAAACCTGTATAACTCAGTATTGTAACAGAAACCTTTTCTAAGGATTTCCTACGGGAATTGTAGCAGATCTGGAATATTTTCAATCTGTAGCAAGTCTGGAACAAAGCACAAGTTGCAAGTTCACACATCCCTTTAAAGATGGTAGAAGAATCTTTCAAATATATCAGTAGACAATGGGAAGCCATCAAAAGTTGCACAGAGTGGAACAACGACACAGCAAGTAACCATTGAGGAGGGAAGCACATGACTTATAAAATGAGAAAAAAATAATTCCTGAGTACTGAAAAATGTGGAACAATTAAACTGTAACAAATTTTCAGCACTCAATAACTCTGACTTAGCAAGCTATTAAAAAGAAAGGAAGCAGGATTATAAGGGCCCTGTTCTATGTTCTCTCTTCCTGAGCACGAGAGGACAGTGTATGAACACACACCCTTCCTTACGAGAAGACCTGTGAAAAGAAAAAGTTTATCCAGTCTCAAGGAGTAGAATGCTGCATTTTCCCAAGTGTATGCACAGGCAGACTGTCAGTTTTACTGGGATATATCTTGAGGCTTAAATGCTGGCCTGTTTAAACTCATAATTACCCTGTCAGTAGAACATTTGCTGTGTGCAGGATCAGAATTTTAACCCTGAAGTTCAGTTTTAATGCAGTCTTCATGAATGTGTACACACCTTCCATCTAATAAGGCAGTAAGAGAAACAATCAAAATAGGCATATATCTATTTTTTAAATACTTTTTATTGTTACAAAAACTGTACCCGTGTTTGATATAATCTGCTTTCAAACAGCAAGAGTCGATATTCTGATTAGAGTGAGAATACAATTCTGAAAAATTTTTGTGTAGATTTTGACTACCGGATAATACAGATAGCCCTACAAAGTAATTTGACTTTCATTCTAGTTGATGTTCTAGTAATATTCAGACAAATAATAACATTTCTTATGTAGCTATATTGCAGGTTAGCTCATTACTACATTCTGTTCAATTAGGGAATGAAGAAGCAGACGAATCTGTTAGAATTAGGGGGAAATGACTCTGTGTTGTATCACACTCAAAAGAAGCTAATGTATTACAGCCAGAGAACTCAAGTTCTGATTTATATTGCCAGTAAGTTGCCCAAAAGCAGAGCAGAAACAGTATTTCGAGAACACACAGTGTTTTAAGACAAAATTTCATCTGTTTGGTAAGAAATATAGCGGCTGAATAACAGTATTTATGAATTAATGGAAGTTGCTTACCTCATCATAATAAGCTCTCAAATCAGCTCTTTTAGATCGTAAGTCCCAGAATACTACAGTCCCATTTTCATAGCCTATCAATAGCTGGAGGAGGGAAACAGACCTGATTACAGTTTCATATTCAAATACACATATAGTTATTCATGGTTTTAAGGCATATTTCAAAAAATAAACAATATAAAAAATGCCAAACTGATGCACAAGACTGTAGATTATAATGTACGTAATACCCTGCATTCAAATTATCTTTTACTGTAATTCACTTGTAATGACAGACAATTCCAGTCCTGATACAGAAATAAAAATGTGCTTCATAGATCATTTTTTATGCAAGGTTATGTATGTGGACTGTCTTCACAATTTTTTGTCTGTTGAAGAAATATTAATACAGCATGTTCCTCTCAGTGGCTCTCTTCCTTCCTTATTTGAAGGGACAACTATTTCACATCTAAGAGTTTTCCTAAATTACATCAAATCAAAGAGTAGCCAGATTAAACTCTCTCTCAGCTACCTATATTCCTTTAATTTCTGCTTTCTACTTCTTTTAAACGCTTTGAAGAAATCCTGTTGCAGAAAATAAATTGCTTACTTTTCTAGAAATTGAAAGCAAGTTAACCTGTATGCAATTTTTAACTTCCAGAATTAGAACATCATACAATCCCACATACCTGAGAAATACCAATAAGATTAAGCAAAATATGATAGAGAAGAAAAGCAATGCTTAGGAAAAAAGTAAGAATGAACACAATGCTTTCTCCTTGTTTGTACTAAAAATAACTAAATTTTACATCAGCTGCTGTATTGAGTACTTTTCATTTGAATTTAGTTCGTTATAAATCTTATGGAATGTGTGAAGCCTGGCGTGCTTAGAAGTCCTGCAAACTGTTTCCCATGGAGCTTATCTTCCTAAGAATCAGTTCTGAAGAATGAGAGTGAGAATACTGGAAGACTAACACATTTTGATTATGGACTATTCATGTACATGGGGCAGTGATACCTGCAATTGTTCTTTGTCCAAAAATACATGGATCACAGAAGGCAAGCAAGAATTCACATTTTTTATATCAAGAATTTGAGGGAAAGAATGACAAGATGACAAGACTATCTCTTAGTCTGTGAAACTTTACCAGAATCTTTGCTGTTACTGACTACAGCTTGTGTAAGTCATAAAAGTTAAACTGCTGGACTGCAAAACAAAACTCTTTTTTTTCCAAGTTAAGCATCTTTAATACATCAATACTACAGTATACAGAGTCTGGGAATACTCTGAGTTCTACTTGATATAATTTTCTGTATTGTCAGAATATTTTTTACATGGAGACGCATTACGCGTTCTTGGAATGACTTACAGTTAAATACATATAATACCTGAATAGGAGAAATACCAAGTTATTTAGGAATTTTGTTCCCTAACAAAACACAAACAGTCTTAGAGAAATCTCAGAATATTTAATATTTTTGCCCTGGACAGGTCCATCTGGGATTCTGTAGCAGAGTAAATGAGAAAAGACATCACTGTTCAGAAATCATATAGCAAACTGGATAGTACTGGTGTCAGGTTGCCATATGGTAATGTGACATAGAGGACTGCCAACAGGAAAATGAACAAAGGGCCTTACTGCAACTTCTTTCACTGCCAGTGTAGTGATTCTAAACAGAGACAGTTGTATATTCAGAACTTAGTGATTCACGTAACAGCCTAACTATGCATAGGCAGAGTATGCTGTGCCCTTATGGAGGTCCATTTGATGCTGCACTATTTGGAGTTTCCAGCATTTTAGGTACATAAGATTATCTGTCTTCTTTTTTCCTTTTTGTATTTTTTATATTCGTAGTATATATCATACAGATTCTGAGTGCTTCTCTTACTGTCTTCACTACTGCATTACAGCTGGGTACCAAACCAGTTGAGTTTGGTTTGGATCTACCAGTTTTCTTTCTCAGATTTATACAATTATAAACAGGAAAGGAATAGAAAAGCATTTAGTATGTGACCTTGTTTCATAATAAGCATTCCTCCCCAGTGAAACAGGATTGGTTTTTGATTTTTATCACTCTTTTGCAAAGACATTGTGCTCCAGGTAATTACTAAAACGTAAAATATCACCTATGAGATGCAGCTTTCTATATCATGTATCACTAAAATGTCACTGCACAACAGCACTATAGAACTGCAAGACAGAAAGCATTGAGCTTCACGGGAAGTTGAAAGATGCACAGAACTGCTGCATAGCTGCAATCTCTATCTACTATTCTCAGAGGGTAGCTCTGCTGCTTGACTAGTAATAGTGTGGTTTGACAATAAAGTCAGAATTCCAACAGGTTGAATATGATTAGTCTCATTCTCAGTGTATTTATGATACTCTAAACTGTAATCTGTCTGAAGTACAGAAAACCCAAGCCTTCTCACTCCTCTTGCTTATTGTATGCACTTCAGAGATCTGTAAGACAAGCTCTATGCTAGTCAACGCTGTAAAAAAAAAACCCATAATCTGTACATACAGCTGTAGGAGAAAACATTAACAGAAAACCATAAACGTATTGATACATATAAAAGGAGTCTAGGAAGAAAACAAAAAGTTATCTTTTCATCTTGTGTTTCTGACCCGTTGTTTAATTTCTCATACTTAATAATTAAGAATCATACAGTAGGTTGCACAGAATTTCAATGATGGAGGAGTCCTGGCACAATCTTCCATGTCTAGCAGAGTTGACCACAAATTCTTATCCCTGAAATGGTTTTGATGTCAGTATTTAAGGGAGATTTCTCCTTTGCAATCAACAACTTCCATCCTGGTACCTGCCAGGCAGCCCTCTCTTTGTCCTGGTAGCACAAAATTTCTGTGGGGAGAAAAAAAAAAGCCTGCCAAGCGCACTCTATATTTAGGTGTTATTAGATCTCAGAACACAGACTCAGAGATAGGAAGTTTAGTCCACAAGCTGATAGTTGATAACATTAAACCTTTTCCTATTAAGCTTTCTCCAGTTTCTGGGAAACTGCAGATCATTGCAGTTAATGTCGTCTTCTGTGTCAGCAAGAAAAACACTGTTTGCTACAGATCTGCCACTTACAAATATCTGTGTACTTCAATCTGTTCCTAATGCACACTAACTCACTGATATGGCAGGCAATTACATTTCATGAACTTAATCACTAGGTCCCCAAATTGTTCTTAAGTGGCAGGCTAAAAGCCCAGATTCTCTTTGTTGTCTGTCTTCCAACCATCACTTGCTAGATTCGTAACAGAGACCGTCTCCAAAACCTGCCTTGATAGTTTGTTTGGAAGGTCAAAGTCTTCTGGAATTAATTACATTCAATCTTTCGGCACAGAAATACTGGTCATCAGTCACTGATATCAAGTATTGAACTTTAAGGATTCTTTTTCTTTTTTTCTTTTTTTTTGGAAAAATGAATATACAGCTCATGCAAAGTTTCCCCTGGCTTCCAAAAAGAGATCCTAGTTTCAGTAAGATTTGGTCTGTGTTTCAGGTCTCTCAATACTCATTACATCAGCCTCATAGGGGAGTGCTTCCTGTCTACTTTAGGGAAACGTGCAGAACAGTAATCAATTTTATGATATCACAGAGAAATATACACTACTGGATCCTGGCAGAGTGCAATATCCTTATAGAGTATAAGAACATCTATATTTCCAGCAATGATTATGACTGAATTGTTACCCAGAATATTCTTCTAGCTTTTATATTGAAAGAGACTATGAACTGTTCTCCTCTTCATCACAATTATTATTTTCAAATTCAGGATCACAGTCAGATATTGTTCCATAATTTTCTTGTCTGACTTAACTGTGTATCATGTAGAAAATGTTGTCCCTTCCCTGAATCTCTTTGAGCTTGATTACATCTCTTTTGAGATAGAAGAGCAAGAGTTTTTTATTCAGTACTCAGCAGACAAGTCAACCATGCATTTATGCAATAGGCCTGTTTTCTCTATTCTGCTCTAAATAGTGCCTCTTATTATATTTTTTGATCACTACTGAGCACTGAGCTGATATTTTCATTGAGAAATCAGTCTCCATTCTATAATCCTGATACTAAGCAGCAATGATCACCTGAGACCCACTGTCATAGATATGAAGTTAGAAATATTCTCATCCTCCACACATATCACTTGACATTGTTTACACCAAATACTTACAAAAGACATTATTTAAGCTGCCATTTTACAGCTGAGTTTCTCATTCTCCTAAAGTCCAGCAAACCTGATTACATGACAGTTTACCCTCTTCTAGGTTGTTTATAACTATGCTGAACAAAAAAACCCCAAACATTGGATTTGTTTGTTTTATTCCTTCCATATTTTTCACTCTGAAGAAAGGTTTGGTTTTTTTTCTTTCATTCTTTCAACTCAAATTTGATGTAATAATTGGAAATTTTTTTTCCCCCCTCTTTACTATTGTACCTTTTCACTGGAACTATGTCGTTTGATTCAGGGTTCAACCTCCTCCTTTGTCTCTGTGAACCTTTTACTGATATCTTCCATTAAATATCAAACTGTTGATTCCACATTCTGCAAATCTGCAAGTATTTTGTTAGGACCAATTGGTTCTTTACACCATCCTCAATTCATCAATGATATAAACAGCAGCACAGGGATGGTTTCAGTACATCTTTCATTCTCTCCCCATACATTTCCGATGTTTGTTTTCAATAGGGATCCACCTGATTTTGCTTTTACCAGAGCCCTGCTCATATGACAATCCTTCATCAGAGCCCAGACGTTTCAAATGCATTCTCCGACCAATAAGCAACTGTGTTTCCAAGTAAACTTTTCTCCAACTTCCTTTACTGAGATCTTTTCATCTTCCTTTCAGCTGAAGTCAAAATATTTCAGGTTTTTGTTGTAACATGGTGCATGACTTCCTTCAAGAGATATATACTCACAGAGAATTTTCTTTCTTTTGGTATTTTTCTCACTGTACATTGTGCTTTAGGTGGGTCAGTAACAGCTTCTTTGGAATGCAACAAACAAGACTTGTACTTGACCAATAAAACTTGATTTTTATCAGGTATTTCAGCATCAATAGTTAAGTAGAATTTCTTGATGACTTCTGGTTTGAGGCTAAGACACTATGCTCCATAGCATTTAATTACTTTCATTGGCTCTATTCTAAATCACTTCATCTACTGTGATTCTTTCAGAAAAGCTTGGAGATCCAGGCTGTTGGAGGACTGGCCAGCAACTGCATTGTCTGCATATAGTTCACCCTGCAATATGGATAACTCCAAGGACCGACTACGCAAATGAAATTCAGATGTAGCCTCCAGTGTCATCCTGGGTAGCCATATTCATTTCAGCATAATGTACCCTGTATCAGTAATATAAACTCCGAATGCTTCTAGTTTCCAATAATCATCAGCAGTTACATGAGACACACTTTCAAGTAGATACATCATTTGTAAATTGGAGTCCTTTATAAATGCTCACTGAAATGCAATTCTCAAAAGTGATCAAAAAAGAACAAACTAGCTAAGTGCCCTTCCACATGGGCAGAATGCTAAAAAATTTAGTAGCAGCATATAAATAAAACATTTCTGGCAACCAAATTTCTTTTTCAAAAAGCTACCATACAAACAAAGCCAACTCAGATTTTGCCTTCTCATGATACGAATCACACTTCGATTACATGTTTTGCTTTCACTTATTGACAGCTCTTTGCTACTCTCGACTCCGCTAAAGAACAACAGCAAGTTCCAAATGTAGGTTGCTATCATAATTATTCTTGTGTAAGAAACAATTTATAATTTTATGAAAGCTTACTATAATGTATACATGCGTTCTGCAAATACCAGAGTCCTGACAGTCTCTGTTCTTAATTAAGCAAAAATCACATTTATTTAATCAGGAACAATTTTGACAATTTTGACTGGCTGTAGGTTTCAAGAGATGTTGTCTACATATTATAATTTTTTACTCATAAAGTTATCCAAAGAGATTTTTTTTCATAAAAACTGTAAAATAGTAAAAGTGACCCTACACATATATATAATGAATGAAAGCAGATTATAATATCAGAGAAAGAGTTATTAAGGTCGATGCAGGCTATAAAATGTTGCAGTATGTTATATCATTAGTTGTACTCACTTTCCCTTCATCTCTTGGGCTATCACTTAAATGTACAACTGGTCCAGGATGAGTTTTAGTGGATCTGCAAGACAAAAATCAATTCAAATCTGTGAAACTTTTCTTTGTACAAAGAGCTAGATGCTTACCTTAATTGCTAGGTGTGTTAACATGCATCTCCAACAACTTAAAAGTCAATATAAAAAGTCCATTGGGGAAGACAGTTATCTGAAAATAATCTATACACTTTCATGTTCAACTCTACTTCCTTCTTGCTCTGTTACAGGTAAAGCCCCTCAATGAAGAATGCTTTCTTCTTTTTTTAAAAAAATAACAACTTACTTTTCACCCCATTATAGATTTTTTCCCCCTAATTTCTAAAGCTTTTTTGCCTTTGCTTTTGTTCACTCCCTCACTTTCTGCCCGCCCTGCTCTCAGTTGATTTCAAGGTTAATCTGCCAAGGATAAGCAGTCTTCACTAGATTCATTTCTGTAACTAATATCAAGCCTCACTAAGTTCTGATCTCATTAATGACAGAGATTCAGTAATCTCAAACACACTTCTCCAGCAGGCAGCTTCTTGGAATGAAAGGGACTCTGGAAATAAAGCGTCTTGCCTTTGTTCAATAAAGCCTTATGTTTTCAGACCAACTACTACAGTTGCATCCGCAATGCATACTCAGTATAGCTCCCCAGCCATAAAACTCATCCTTTACAAGTTTCTGTAAAGTTTACTTTCTGTTCTTGCTGTTCCCTCTATTTTTGTAACAGGTACCATCAACTTCTTATGCAGTTTAGTAAGGGACTGCTGCTCAAGTCATTGCCATCCAGCACCTGACAGCAAATGCAAGTAGGAAAACGAAGGCACGGATGAAGATTTTTGAACTGCCATCTTTTCTGACCAGACCTTTACACCCCGGCAGTTATACAGAGAAAAAAGACCAGCACTAAGTTCACAAAGCTTCAGGCTATTTGACATGCAGAACAGGACTTTTCCTTCACTTATGTTCTGGATCAGAGCACACATCCCCTGCAGTTCAGCTCAGGATCTAGACTTGCTCTCCCTACTTACATGACTGATCTGGATTTATCAAAGGCCACCAGAAAAAGAAATAAGTCAGAGATTGGCAAGGCCCATAAAGTTTATCTGGAAGCCACATGTAAAATGACTTAGCCAATAAATTGAAAAAAATTCTGCAAGAAAATTAAAGAAAAATCAAAACAAGCTTTTCCAGCCAGACTACTCAAAGGATTTCCATAACAGTATTCAAATACTGAACTACAGAAAAACTGGACATCAACCACTTTATTCTACCAGGACCAATTCCCAATCAAAAATGAGAGTAGTATACAAAAATTTCCAGGCGTCCTGAACATTAAAACATCGCAGAGTAATCTGTATCCTCCTTCCCAAAGCAATCATCTAAACACCAGACAGACTTCCAAGAAAGGCTATACCTTACTGCTTTACAAGTATTTTAACATTACTGCTAGCTGAATAGGCAGAGCTAGTGGCAATCTTGCAGCATGTTCACATGGTGAACCTTCTTCATGAGGTGATCCCATGCCATCATCTGCTTTTGCAGATCATGTTTCCTCAGTTACATGTACATGTTACTTTTCTGCATGATGTCTAGGTTAGTAAGGCTTCCACAAAGAACAATTTGCAACATATCCCAGCACAGAAGAGAGATCAGCAGAAAGCAAGGGAAAGCCTATTTACAGTATATACGTTCTGTACAGAGTGCCTTTAATAGTGACAGCAGCAGGTACACACTTGGCTTAAATCATAGCATGCAACCATTTTATTTATTTATTTATTTTGCAGAAATGCAGGTAACAGGAGATCTGGCTATTCTTATCCCAGTCAGCTCCCCAAAAGGGACAACCTCAAGCTGAACTTGTGCAACTGAGTAAGCTATAATGGAAAGAGTGAGAGGCAGCACAAGGAATTTTCCATTTTAGACAGATAAGAACCACTCCAACGCACTGTGAATCCATTTTTCTCTCCCTTTTTGCATTTCTATGGGCACTGTTCCTTACTGTTAAAATGGTCCAGTTAGTCAGACAACAAACCTTGTTGATAAGTGCTACAGAAAAGGGAGCAGAGCCAAGCAAACATCAGTCATGGCAACATCAGCTGGCAACAGATAAAATGATGCAGGCAGGCATGGCATGCTGGTTTTGGCCAGTTATTCCAACCCACTGAACTGACCATGATGCAGACTGGGTAGTTTGGCAATACAAGTGCTGATATTTGACCAGGAATGTTAGCAAAACTGAGGAAAATGGAGGGAGCAAGGGAAAGTGCGTACTGTCCTTCTAAGACGCAGGGTGATCCCATGTAAGCTGCTCTTTGTATCTGCTAGCTGTAAAAGTCAAAAACAACTTAGGTACATTTGCACAAGCACTGTTTTCTTTTTAAGATGTATGTGCCTCTGCTCACTAAAGAACAAGTTCATTTAGTTTTGAGTAGAAGCAAAGTGTTACATGAGAGCTGTAGCCACTCTACATTACAACTAATGATAGACTAGTTATACTTGTATTGTCACAAGATAGTACCTCCTTTGAAAATGATACAAAACTGTTTTTCCACTACCAGTCTTATTTTTATCTTATTCTTCCAAGGAAGTACTCCTTAATTTCCATACTGAGACTTCAGCTAAAAGGAGCAATGTCACTCATACAACCCATTTTCCTACTTCATTTCTCTGTCTTGAATCTATTGTATCACAGTAGTTGGAGGATTCTGGAATGTTTGCATCTGAAAAAGTATAATAAAATTTTGTCCTGCTTTTAATGAGATTCAACACTTTTTGTTGTTTTAGGAGTAAAGTGAGTTTTATTACCAGGCTCCTAGATATTTGGTCAATTTTGCCAAGTGAGTGCTTCACATACAACCTCTGTGAAGTTACTGCCAATCACAGCACCTGTACACCCAATTTAGGAAATTTTATTTTTCTGCATTCTTGTTCCTCTATATTGAATATCAAGTATTACCTTAATATTTATATTACTTTACTCTTCAGTACTGTAATAAGGTAGTTGTTTTGTATTATAACTAACTAGGTCAAGTTTCTTCCAATTTTATTATTTTAGTCTGGAAGGTATGTTACTCATTCAAAAAGCTCAATGAAGCATTCTACTGCTTTCACACCTACACCAGCAATTTTAGATTCCGTTCTTGTTAGCTCATTTGCGTCAAATACTGGGTGTAGGATGCAAGGTACTGGTAGTGTGGAGGCTGCAGGGGTGGCCTTTGTGAGAAAAGGCCAGGGGCTGGCTTGTGCTGGACACAGACAGCTCCAGAAGACCCAGTGCAGGATGCAGCTTAGCGAAATTTGAGGTGCCTTGGGAAAATGTATTTAAAAATGGGTGAAATGCTGCACAGGCAGTAAGGAGTAAGGACACTAACATCAATGAAGGAATGCAGGAGGTGCACCAGGGGCTGGAGCATAAGTTCCCCTGCAGGTCATTAAAAAGACTATGGTGAATTAGGTTGTCCATTTGGAGCTGAAGGAGGACCATATCTCCAGACAGTAGCCTCTGGAGGACCCCACAATGAAGCAGCTGGGTATTTTACGAATGAGCTACAACCTATGGGGAGCCCACTCTGGCTCCTAAAGACTAGTTCATGGGAAGATCCCGTGATGATGCAGGAAAAAAAGTATGAGGAAAGAGAGACAGAGAAGAACTGTTATGGACTTATTGTAACACCCCATTCCACATCCCATTGTGCTGCTTTAAATTTTGTCTTAATTTTCAGCATCCAGTTCTATTTTTAAATGGCAATGAAACAAATTTTATTTTCCCCAAATTGAGTCTGTTTCGCCCATTGGCAGTAACTGGTAGTTGAACTCCCAGTCTTCATCTCCACCCATGAACTTTTCCATCTTATTTACTTCCCCTAACCTGCTGTGGAAGGGGAATGAGGCAGTGGTTGTGTCAGGGCCTTGCAGCCAGCAAGGGTCCACCCAGCACAAATACCTTAACTGCTCAACAGCTATCAGTTTTGACTTTATACAGGTAGAAGAAAAGTCTTTACTAAGTTTGGCAATCATAGTACTAACTCTGTGAGGAAATGAGTAAGAATTTTTTTTGAACAACTAATAGCCTAAAACTCATTTCAGATTTGCTATCACAGATAATGTTACACATGGAATTTTTCGAGTGATGACAGCTGATGTTACTGAAGCTTTCTAAGATTGCAGAGCCTGCTCCCTGTCAGTCTTTCTGCACTACCCTTCCAGTGTTCCAAGAAATACTATTTTTATCCACATCACACAAAGCATTTGCATCAGAACTGATTCCTCTTTGGTCTAAACAACAAAGAATATTCACAAGGTGCAGCACAAAGCTGTTAGTTTGGCTTGGCAAGAGACATGCAATCCATGTTGGAGGACATGTCTCAGGGATGATATGCTGATACAAAATTCCACTTCAGATGGAGCAGGAGAGAAAAATGAATGAGTCTTAACTTTCTCCATTCCACATGGTGTTTCCCTTATTCATCTGAACCTACCATCTTGCTGGATATAAGAGAGGGACATGATAAATCTTCACTGGCAGTATAACCTTCCTGCTTCTCTTGAAGTGATATTTGCTCTCCCCTAGTGCAGGAATGTGGCTAAGAACTCAAAGCTAGCTGTCCATGCTGCACATTAAGACGAAGAAGAAATATGCCAAAGGTAGATCAATGCTTTACTTGACATGCTTCTTCTTATATCTTCAGGAAAACCATAAACAAACAAATAACAGCAATGTTTTCTGGTGCACTAGAGCAGTGTTGCATGTAAAGGGGCTGCCAGTCACTAGGATCTGTAAACAATTTCTCCTAAGGGTAGACATAATGACTGTACTACAAATAAGATTATATAAAGCAATTATTTAGCTAATTTAGTTAGTTTACAGAACTCATGAAACGCTACCAGAGCTACAGCTCAGTAACTACTACTTTCATATAGCAAATTATATTGCATGTGAAAATGTGTACATACAAAAACATTTTGCCTCATGTAGCTATAGTATAAATACTGCATTTTGTTTCCACTCACTGCTATTAGAGCTGGTTTGTCAAGAAGATTG